TATAGAAGCGACCAGCTTTAGTTCCGCGGGTTTGCATGCTGGAGAGAAGCTCTTGAAAGTCAACTCTTTGGACCCGAGATTTCATTGTTCTACACCATGCAAGCTTGGGGATTCGGCTTGAGCATACTACGTCTGCAAAGCTCCGAAGATTATAGCGTGGCATAATGAGAGTGATCACCTCATACAGCCATGGAGGTATAATAATCTCCAAAGTTGAAACGTTTCTTAGTAAAAGTACCTATCTAATGGCGGTAACTGACCATTAATGTGGATTCTGGAGGGGTGTATACCTAGTAGCTTGTATTGGTCCGCCAAAAGTTTCAAACGTTACGTACATAATTTCAAGGCATCGAATGCCACGAGTTAAACGTTGGTACGGAACGACTTGGAGTCTGGACGCTCGTACGGTGTGGAAAAATTTCGGTATCTAGCGGTACGTACCGCACCTTGTCGGAAGATTCAGCCAACCGTCAACCCTAGGTTTTGACGTAGGTACCGGGGGTACCGGGCCATTAACATTCTATTATTTCTACGAGCTACCAGTACCGCGCGGCGACAACGTCAGTTCGCATGTCGACTGGTTCCGACTCAAAGTCGGTCATACGGTAGTGGACGGTGAGCGCCGGACGACCGGTCACCGGACCTCCTTCTCAATCTACCAGTCGCCGGGCTCGTCTTCCTGGCCAAGTCTGATGCATGGTTGGGTTGCCCGGTGTATCATGATAGATCGGCCGGAAACCATGGCCCGGGGAACGGAGCCGACCGGTAAACAACGACGATACGTATGACGAAGAGTTTGCCCGGTACAATATGTGGCGGATCTGCCAGATTCTGATGTCACTGTCAGACACACACAAACCTGGTATCAGGTACAGCTACCTAGTACCGTAGACCGCGGTACGCCTGGTGGTGTCATGAACAGTGACTCCGAATCAGTCCGGCGGCCGCCAACACTTGAAGTAGGTACAGTCACCACGTAGCAGTGGCGGCGTTCTTAAGAGTGTGCTGCCGGGCCCCCAGGGGCCAGCTTCAATGTCGCTTGCAAATGTCGTCGCACATGTGGTGCGCGGCGACTTGATGCGCTGCATTCGCGCTTCTCAGTCGCCGAAAATGGGGTCTGGAGTTCTGAACCGTCTGCCCAGACAAGGGGAAGATTCCTGTCGCAGTCAGAGCGGCTCCCACTTCCTCGGACTCGTGCAGTGGCGAATCTTCAAATCTCTGCTCGACAAACGAATGCAGGGCGCACCACGTCAAATGAATGATGTAGGTAGGGTAGCTGTAGCAGCGTCACATGGCCGCCAATTCTCTTTGACGTTATGCCAATGGTGCTCACCTTGGACTTGGTGATGAGTCCAAACTGCAGCTGAAAGGGACATCGTGATTGCTGTCCAGAAAGGCGATTGTAGAGAGAGAGTCGAAAGCACCTCTTGTTGCATCAAGGTTGGTCAATGCCTGGAGGGTTTCTATGGTTGGTCCTCACTTTGTGAGCTCTGTTGTGTGTGGTTGGTTTGGCATCGCGGCCACGTTTCGATCTTGGAGCTCTTGCCGTCCTGTTTTCTGAATCTTAGTCGATGTGCGCTCTATAAACATGAAGCCTGCTGAGGAGCTTGCATTGCTCTAAGTAGGATGAACGGGGGCCTTGAGAGGATGTCGCCTTCTGCTCTTCTGTCGAGCTTCAGCCCCTGGTATCACAAGCTGACTCCGGTGCCAGAGGACAGCCACGTGGATTTCTCTGATGATGAGCAACCTAAGGTTGTCAGGCAGCCCTTCAAAGGGCTCATCATCTGCGCCACGGGGGTCCCTAAAGGTGAGTGGTGTTGAAAATTCAGTTTAGATTTCATTTTCGGTTTCTTCTCTGGTTCTCATTTTCAGGAACCGTTGTGATTTGATTGCGGACAAACTGGATTCTAGTGAGCTGGTTCAAGTTTTTGAAGGGTTTCCATTCGCAAATTGCTCATGAGCACGATAAATGATTATATGTCAATTTTGGAGCAACGAGAGTGTGGATCAACTTACAGCAGGAATGCAGGAAAGACTTGTTAAAAAGTCAAAAGCAGCACGAAGTGCAATCTGTCAGCATTGTCGTTCTTTGAAACCAGGGGACACCCCCTTCCTCCTTTGTTGCATGCTGGCCTGCGATTGCATCTTTCTATTTGCAATCCTCTGAAAGTCCATGTTAGGGCCATTTTGCTTTTGAGGTTCTGGAATCAAATTGTAAACAGAACTGAGTGATCCACTGTGTTTCTTACAATGACTTGCAAGCTTGAAGGTACAAGTGCAGTTTGGAGTATTGTTTGTCATGAAACGGCAGTTGTGTAGATCTGTACGATGGGCAAATGGGGCCATAAACTCTCCAGGACTGTCCGGGAATACTGGCTATCCTGTTTCTTGGCTGCCTGCAAGACTGAATGAGCCGTCAACATATTCTCCTGGAAACCTTCGACGGACTGTAGATTCGATGGACCATTTCAGCATCCCTTGCAGCCACCAGCGCAAATCATAGAGAGCATGGTTCACATTGCCGCAAAGAAGCCTACTAAGAATCGTGAATTACGATGGCATTGTTTTCCTCCTCGATTTGAATCCATCTGAGATACAGAGCAAGCTGTGCATAATTACAGCGTGTTCGAAACGTAAGTTTTGTGGCCCGTTGCTAAGCCGCATATCTTCTGTTCTTGCAGATGTTCGCAAGCAGATGCGGGATGTCACGGAGCGGCTGGGAGGGGCGTACAGTCCTGATCTGCATCGAGGCTGCACACACTTGGTCGTTCAGATATCCTCATCCACGCATGATCGCTCGTCATTGTCGGCAACTTTCTTAAACTATTCACTTCTGAGACTGGTGCTCGTTGGATGGCTGGTTTTTGGAGTGGCAGTCTCGAAAAATGAGAGTGGACGTGCTGTGTTGTACTTGATGCTGGGCAGATTATCAGCATTGTGACAGCAGCTGCTGGAGAGAATTGCTCGCTTTTGACGCATCAAACAACCTGTGGATGGCAGTATATCCGTTGTTTCATGACCCTGGCCTGGACGATCTGTATTCATCTTTCTTGAGTGACTCCTTGACTCCATTGCACGGCACCAGCGGCCAAAAATTTCGGCACGCAATCAAGCACGGCGAGAAGTGGGGCCTTAGAGTGGTCACAATGAGGTGGTTCCTGGTATCTCTACAGTTGAACGGTGAGGCGCCTGAAAATGATGCTCTGCCGGACAGTGCTGTGGTTGCTGTTGCATCGCTGAGCCTGTCCGCCCGAGACCCTATGCAATTGCAGATGGAAACGTTCTTTCTGATTCATGAAGTTCTGTGAAGCAAGTTTGCCAGGAATAGCAGGTACTAGAACCTACCGCTTGGCACCCTTTTGCGAATCGCTCAGAATAGATTGCACAATCTTGTTTGCTTGCAGCCTGGTCTGAATCCCCGGCCATATCCATGTATCCAGCAAGCCAAGGAATCATTCACAATCCATCTTCCTGTTGTTAACTGCAGTTCGGATGGATGAAAATCCATACAAGGTCATAGTTACGGACTTTGCGATAGAGGACAGCGAAACGCCCAAGACACCCCCAACTGACGACTGCACAGACAAGGTCCTCCAACCGCGACCAGAAAACTGCTCGACCGCAGGGGATGTTAGCATAGACAAGGGCGCCCGAGCCGTCCCTCATGTACAGGAGCCGCTTGAAGACTCCAGCACGCACAGCGATCTTAACCTGGCATTAGCGCTAGTTCCTCGCCCCCCCTCGCTCGAGCTCGTCACCATCAATGGAGAATCGGCCATCGCTGAGGTTAAGGTGGAGGAAGTGAAGCTCTCAGAGGACCTCTTCAAGGGCTACTGCTTCTTCATCGACCCCGAGATCTCGTCCAAGTTGCTAGAGCAGCTGCGCGCTAGCATAGACACCGCCGGGGGCACTGTTTGCCCCCAGTGGTTCATTGGCTGCAAGGCAACGCACCTAGTCTGCGAGGGCAGCACGCTTAGAAAGTACGTGGGGCGGGCGGCAAATGTCGTGACTCCCCTTTGGGTGCTACGCTCGGTGGAGCGGGGCTCGCTTCTGAAGTCGGTCCAGTTCTCGGTTGACATGGGGCGCCATTTGGCAACACTGTTAGGAGAAAACGATGATGGGCCAGGGAGACCTGCCACACGAGGCTCGGTTCAGCAGGTAAGCTTGTCAGGGCCGGTGGTTCTTTGTCTGGTTACGTCCTTTATTCTGGCACTCGTATCGGCTCATCTGTTGACAGCCAAGCAACCTTCAAACCACAAAGCATTGGGCATTGCTGTTAACAGACAAATGAGGATACGTTCAGCGTTCTCCTGGAGTTTTGCCAAGAAACGTTGCTTCAGGGAGCAAGTTACGAGTTGGGCGAGGGTCAGTGGTGTGTTCAATTGTCCTCAAGGACTGTGAGTTGAACGTGGCAATGTTGAGTAGGAACACTCTAGGTGGAATTGTTATTGTAAAAAATGCTCTGACTGCACTGGAGCCGGCTAAGGGTTTCTTTTCGAATTGAAGTCTGGCAGCATTTCTGTCCCATTGCCTCATCTCAGAGCTGTGCATTGTAATGCTGTCCCTCCAGAATCTTACAGTCCTTACAGGGAGATTGCAAAGAGTGAGGCCCGCAAGGGTGGCTTTTGTCAGCTAGCATCGTGACTGACTCTGGATAGCAGAACTTCGCAGTGCAGGCTTTCGCTGCAATTTCCAAAGATAGGGCAGGTCTCTCCACAATATCTGAGGCAGCTCTTCTATGCTCTTGGGGCTGCATGTCTTGCACCGCCTTGCCTGCTTAAAAGGACTGGAGGTTTGGATCTCGACCATCCGTATATCAAGATACAAATGAGGACATATGGTAGTAGCTAACCAACACATAAGAGGGTAAATATAAAGCAGATTGAGCGAGGGTTGAGATTCAAAGATTTCAGCATGTTCCATCTGTTTTGGCTAAATGTTGGACTGTTTGCAACTCAAAAAGCAGACCCGTTGGAACGCTGATTGCATTATTGTCCAGCTTTGCTAGTGACAAAAACGTGTAAGGAACGGGGTGCCCAGCCATAAGAGCAGACACTTTTTGACACTGACCATTAAATACGCACCCAGAATCTCTAACCACTCGCTGAGCCTATGTGGAAAGGGACAGGCCTCTCTCGCCCCGCAAGCAGAAGTTCCAAGAATTACCAGAACAGCACAGTAAACCCTTGCACGCCAAACGCGTACATTGTGCCTGCAGGGAGATAGCCAGCCCTCTCCCAGCACCAGCGGTGCCCGGCAGCCGGGCGCCTCCCCGTCTCCTGCCGCTGTGGTCTCGGCGATGGCGGCTGAGAGGCGCCGGCGGAGGGAGCAAGAGGTGCAGGAGATGAAGGCAGAGATCCGGCAAAGACGGTAGGCCATTATTTGTACAGTCTAGTTACCATCGGACGCTCACCGGCGATTCGCTGGTACTTGGCTTGCTTAGACTGTTTCTGGCTCTTTATCTCACTTGTTCGAACGGCTTCAGATTGGAGCAAAACCCCTCAGATCGAAATTCAAAGTGGTCTGGATCTTGTGCACACCGAGCAATACAGCATGCAAAGGATTGGATTGTCATATTGGCCGGGTCAGTCAAAGGAGTCTCCAACAAGGCCAAGGCCCTTTGGCTTTTCTTGAGGGGTATGGTACAAGTCCTCAGGGAAGCAGTGCCTGTAGTCGTCTTGTATATTGAGATTATGTTTACTACAGACATTGGGGCAGGACCATTTCCAGTGAAGGTCCTTAAAGTCTCCTCAGACATTGCCTGGATTGCCTGTTACGCTGCAATTTTCATTGGTGGAAGGGCAATGCAGCTGGCTTGACGTCTCTATCCCCCCTTCAGCAGTTACGCTTCCTTCTGCAATCAACAAGGTATCCTGTTTCACGTCCTCCAGGTAGCATGTGCTCGAACCTCTCCCCAATCCCAAAGTTCCTCAAAAGACTAACTTTTCAGATTTGTAAACTGACTCGCCATGCCTCCTCCCTGCAGATCAAAACGGCCTGGGGGCAATGCAACCGGCCCCAAGTCCCTCTCCCCCCTCCAGCTTCTCGAGAGCGTCTGCTGGCGCGTCACCGACAGCCCCGTCACTGCGCGGGTCTACTGCGATACTGACCGGGAGTCTTCCCCGGGGGCACATTCACACCACGGGCAGCAGCCTAACGGAAACCGGGAGCTTTCTCCTGGGGCGCACGCAAACTACGAGCTGCAGCCCAACATCGGTTGGCACAGCCCGAACGAGCAAACCGTCGCTCAGTGGGGGGAGGGGGAGCCTCAGGCCGATTGGAACGTTCAAGGGGCTTTGGTGGTGTCTCCAAACGGGCTGTCTAATCTACGGCAAGGCGCAGGGAGCGAAACTAGGTTGCGGGGCATGAAAGAAAGGTGAGGGTTCATGCGAAGCCTCCAGAGTTTTTGTTTCTTTTTCCGGCAGGGCGGTGGATGTCTCTTGTCGTCGCCGGGGTCAAATGACGACTTGCTGTCGGTGTCATTCCCGCACATGCGGGAGTCTGCTGCCTGTTTTGGCATCAAGCCTCTGTCAAGCTTAAGTATTTCCAAAAGTGCTCTTTAAAAGTCGGTTCTGAGCGCTCTGCAAGGGACATTATCGTTCCCAACGCACAAGTACATTGTGCTCCCCGCTGATTGAGTTTGTTTCTGCAACAGCTGGAAGCAGCTTTCACTGTTGCACCACAATCGTTGGAGCTTGTTCGCTTTGGAGCTTGTTCGCCTTGCAAGCATTTTCTAACTCTGGAGCTTCTTCCCACAGCGAGCGCGCAGAGGTGGTGTTCCGGGGCCCTTTCCTGACGCTACTCTTCCCGGTGGATCGCTTTGGAGAATTGGGCCCGCGCTCACGCGGCTTCTTCAGCGAGAAAGGGTTCACGCGACAGCAGCTTCTGGAGCGCGTTCACACCTTCTACCAGGTTAGCTTTTCATTCGCTTCCCCGTGCCCGCTCATTTTGCATTTCGAATACCATACACTGGACTTGCTAGAAGGAGTGGCCTGGCTTATGAAATGTTTCTGGTGAGTCTCGGAGCTTATTTGCACTTCCTCTCGGGTCGGGAGAAACGAATCTGCCTTATCCTTTTCAAGTGGTTGCACGTGTAGTTTAGTACACGGACATGTGCGAGCTCCCATCCCGCGCATGAGAAGCATCTAAGGTATGAACACTCGGCCTAGAGCCTTGCACACAAAGGTTTTGTAACAGCAATTCGCAGCGAAATTACGTTACCGCAGCGTTTCTTCGTTTGCTCGATATCTCCGCCATTAGGGCCCGCCACGAAATGAGGAGACTGGCGCCAAAGGAATCTAATAGTTCATTTTTGCCCGCCACTTGTTCAACCTGAGGTTGTACAGAAGACGGTCATTGACCTTTTTCTTGGGCCAGTATCTGTTTCCCCTCTTGACTCGCCCATCCTTCAATTTCCAGGAGGGCATGTCGGACGAAGAAGTCTCACTGGCGTTGCACACCGACTCGAAGCACGCCGACCGGCTGCGCGCCCTTTACGTGGCTCAGCCAATGGACGACCGACAGCTGGCACGGCCCCTCATGGTGAGAGGGGAGTTCCTTGGCAGTCGGCAGAACTTCGAAGGCCTGCAGAGGACCAGCCACAATGCAAGTGGGCAAACGTACGAAGTGATCCTGAGCGCATGATGGCGCTCGAGTTCAACGGCCACGAGGCTTTCTGGAGGAGGAAGCACGGAACTAAAATGGCTGGAGGGCTTTCCGAAGAGGGAAGGGGCCGGTAACAACCGCTTTACTGAATTGATAATTGACCGTTGTTAATTAGACACTTGCTTAGCTTGTTGGTTGGCAGTCGAAACAGAAACGAGTCATGTTAAACCTTATGTCTTAAGTTATGTGAACGCGTACAGAGGACGAGCCTAACCGCCACCCTTGAGGTGCCACACGAACTTACCCCGTGTAGCCCAGAAGAATAAGTACGCCCCAATAAGGGAGACAGTCAATTGGTCACAGTTGCAACCTTAATTTGTGGTAAGTTGTCTTCATAAACAGTTCAAATCATTGATGTTTTAGGGTCCTCTCGAGGTTCTAACGAATAACTTCTTTGATATTAATTCCTCAACGCAGAGTCCACCGGTCAAACCCGTTCATCATCCCATAGTTCATTTGTCGAAATTTAGAAGTTAGATGTAATCCCGATAGGGATCCGGACCTACGGCCTTCTCAACGGCCCCCTGCATCAGACCCAATCCGGTTCGACTGCTGCCAAGCTAAGTGCGCCATGCCGATCGACGTCGATGTGTACGTCTTCAAATTGAATGTCGGGGGTATTCACTGATATGATGGTCAACTACCATATGCTGTTTACCGGGACGGTGACATATATCTACAAAACATGGTCTTCATCAGCCCCCTGCATGAACACTAGTAACAGTTTCATAAGAACACTCAGCACCAGTATACCCATGCTGAACATTCATGTCGGATCTCCAGTCCGCCCACATGTGCGCTCATAGGAATGCTTGATCATCATTGCATGGTCATGGTCGCGAAAAGATGTTCTCTAGCTTTTCGTAGAACCGTTGAACGCCGTACGTAGCCAGCATGCGGCCATGGGCTTCTAGCTCATGGCATACAATTGTTGTGTTTGAAGATGTATGCGCCTTCTCTAAATCAACTTCCGACTATACTCTGAGCCTATACCGACACTAATACAAAGACGTTCTCACTTAAAGATCGCACCATTCAGAAAATTCTTTATGATGCATTGAGTCAACCAATTTGCATTCATGCAAGATCCGGCGCATGACGCGTGAGTCCGAGGGTCATTCACAAAGCATACACCGGCAGGAAACAGACAGTGGTCGATGTCCATTCAACCTGCATCGGGTGCGATCTGAGACTATAAGAGCTTGATCTTTTGCATGTGGAGCCAACTTAATTGAATGTCTGTGGTTGATACATCGACTTGACCATGACTGTGCAACATATTGCCTGAGGCGAGCTGCATACTGTTAGTACCTACAGTGATGAACAATCATGCCCATTGTCAATTTCTGTACACGTATTGCCGCCGCAGGTTATCTTGACTCGTCGTCCTCTGCCATCGCCTCCATTTCTTCCAATTGCGCAAGCGCTTCGATTGCCTCGTTTAACGGCAACCCATACTTCTTTGCAAAGACTTGCGCCGTTCGAAGCGACTCCTCCGTCTCCTTATCCATATCCTCCATCGACTTCTTGATCTCCCTCAAATCCCCCGGCATCTCATACGTTTCAACGGACGGCCCCTTCCCCATCCCCACCCCTTCCAGCGGCCCCACTTTCTCCACGTCCACCCCAATCCAATCCTTGTAGCCCTGCCCCGGCGGACCCTCTTCCGCAATTTTGGCTGCCTTTTTCGGGTCGTAACCCTCGTCTCCCGGCACTAGTGGCGTTACATACCAGTCCCGGCCGACCTTCACCGGCTTCAGCCCCTGATTGCGGAGATTCTCCGCAAGCCCCTGGTGCTTGTCAAAGTCGACGTTTTCGAAGCACTGGATAAACGACGGCCGCCAGTCGTCGGTGCGCCGCGCCTCTTGCCACTTGGTGAGCTCCCCAATCAAGACCTCGTTCTCTTGCAGGAGTCGCCGGAAGCGCGCAAACATTCGTTCGCTGCAAACAATCGAACCGGCACATCAGATTGATCTTCAAGCCAAAGGCGCGCGAACATGCCTTCGCTGCAAGATTTAGCCAAAAGATCAAATCGGCATTCAAGCCGGAGGCGCGGATATGTCAATTCGCTGCAGAAGGTTGAAAGGGCACGCTGAACCAGGTTTGAAGACAGTGCTCCGCATAGGCTCCCGCCGTGGTGCTGCTAAGGCATCTGACGCCCAAAACGCTTGGAAAGCATCTTCGGGAGGTTGACAAAACCAAAGGCTTGTTAACACCTTTTGACATCACCTGGGTGTATCCAGAGATTCGAGCCTCACCACAGAGGATACGACTCAAAGGCTCGTGCATCAAGATCAGGTGAAGAACTCAGGCCCTTCGATTAGACCCTGCGCTCTGCTTTTGCGAGACTTTGTGCTCAACCATGCGACCCAGGCGTCGAACGGTCGAGGCTGTCAATCAAGCGAGGTGCTGGAAAGCCGTAAAGCCAAGACTTATGCCGCTCTCAATAGAAGTTGGAGCAATCGGACGGACGAAGCAGATGGAAGCTTCGTGAGAAGTCAAGCACGAGTTGCTGTAACTGACCTGCAAAGAATCTGCTTGGGTTCCGGTTGGCGTGCGGGCGTGCACTCGCTCATCAGCATCTGGTAATGCTCCGCGACTCTGCATGGATACATGCAAGTACTCATCATTGGCGGGAGAAGCATGCTTGAGAATCCAGAAACTGGTTTAACGGCAAACCAAGTGATCGACTGAGGGCTCGTAAGTGGTGGCGACAACGGGCCTGACTTGCGGCAAACAACCGCCGGAATGGAAGCACGCAGATGGGTAACGTTCTTTTGAAATATGGTAAAAGACTGGAGCGGTGGCCTTACTTCTGATCGAAACAAGCCTGTTCGGACGCGTCGGTTATCGCTTTCCATCAGGAACCGCCTCAACTTGCGTCGGTGAGAATGCAGGTTTACGGATCTCTGACTATCAACATGCGGCCTGGCAACAAAGGAAGAGTCGGATTGCTCACTGTTCTGTAGTCGACTCCCCGCTGTCCAGCAAGTGCTTGGTGAACTGCACAGACAAAAATCTTGATGAATATAACGAGGTTTTAAGGGAAGCTCAATGTGCAAAGATTTCCAAGTTTCTTGCACGAACCAAGCCCACACGCTCCAGAAGTTCCAGAAGTACTACACCGATTGAGCGCAAACCGTTGCAATTAAACGGAATGTCAGACGAGATTCGAGAGTGTCATCATTCTCGCGGCTCCCCTAGCGGTTTTCGAGAAGGGTGGTGCGGTAATGTCCCTTGAATCCTCATCATTCTAGTGCCCCGCTTTTCTTTGCCCAATGAAGCAGGAGTCACGGTGTTGTTTCGATATTCAGAACTCGGCTCTGGAGTTTAGCAAACTCTTGTGTTAGCATTTCCGAGTCAAAGGAAAGACGAGAATCTTATCGTACTGCGGACTTCGCCGAACCTGTCCGTAGAATTGGGTGCTTCTTGGAGCAGACAATACGCTTGGGTATCCGAACCGACCGTTCTTCAGAGGTACACGGAGCTTGAGTCTCCGCTGTTGACTGAGTTCCGACCGCTTCAGTTTCGTTGTTTCGAGAAGAGATCGAAACACGCTTTCCGCCTTTTTGACATTTGGGAGCCCGAAAGGGGAAGGCTACTTTCAGCATCTTTTACCGTGTCTTCCAAGTCAATCTTCCAGATTACTACCCAAAGGAAAGAAGAGGAGTCAAATTCCCAAAAAGCAAGAAGAAAGACAAATCAATGCCCAAGAAGAAGAAAGAAGAAGTCATTGCCCAGAAGGAAAGAAGAAAGAGAAGTCATTGCCCAAAAGGAAAGGAGAAGAATACCTCCAAGCAGACTCACACTATGGTCCTGATACATGACTTCCAGGTACGGCTGCTTCGTCCGCGGGTGCTCCAGGACGTTCCGCACCGCGATCGACATCCCGACCTCGCTGTTATTCGCTGGCTCCTTCTTGCCGTCGGGGACCAAAAAGCAGATCGCGAAACCGTGCTCCTCCCTGCACGATACATGGACGGGTTTGAGACTTACAACAGTTAAGTGCAGGACACGTGGAGGAGTTTTGAGATATTGCAGGCTGGAATTGCAGGACACGAGGGGGGCCTAGTCTTATGTCTCACATGCATTAACGCCCGTTAGGAACGAAAGCACGTTTAACATTGAACTGCAGGACACGTGAAGGGCTTCGACACCGACTTCGCTTTCCGTTGCAGGATGACCTGGATTTGGAAAAAGACAAAAAGTGTTTCGTCAAAACCTGCCGCCCGAAGGGAGGGGATGGCTAGGAGACTCGGACTGAATCCTTGACAGTGAGGGTCAGTGTGACGGGCTCCGACCAAACCGGAATCATAGTTGAACAGCGCGCGATCCTTTCTGATCGCGCTGTGAGATGGATGGACAAATTGGGATCCAAGAGAATGCAGATCCTTCGGGGCAACGGATTCGCCAGGCGCTTCGAAGTAGGGTGGGAATTGCAGAGTTCGAAAAAGAAAACAACCTGGACAACTGATGATTGAGGACCACTGATCCCGGTTCTCCAATCGATCACTGTTTGATCGAGTCTGTTGGTTAACACAAAAGTTTCTCGTCTTTCTGCAGGGGACTCTGAGTACTCTTTCGCGCGACGTTCATGTGTTTCCACTCTCCTGTCGAACATCCTAACATGGTTCGACCACAGAGCGTCTGATCGATTTGAATTGAACACAAGTAACATGCGAGTGTGTCAGCAAAAAAGGGTCGAAACCGGGACCCACTTGATGGATGCAACAACGCCCAGCTACTCACCTGACGAGCGAGATGAAAAGCTCCATGATAGCGAGCCGGAAGTCGAAGTCGTAGTTGGTGGTGACTGGGTAGCGTTTCCGCACCAAAGGGTCGCTCAGCCGGATCACGTGCTTCGCCTCGTCCGCCGTGAACATCTTCTTCACCTGAAGTGGATGAAAAATATAGTGTCAGCTTTGTTGGTTCATGTTTTCGTTTTTCCTCAAACATGTGTCCAGCCAAAAACACACTCGTTATCAGGGTCGCTCAGCCGAATCACGTGCTTCGCCTCGTCCGCCATGAACATCTTCTTAACCTAGTGGGGAAAAGCTGTAGCCTCAGCTTTCTTGGCAATTTCTTTCTCCTTCTTGTGACGTTTTCGAGCCAAGATCCTCCTCGAAAGTATGGAGTCTGCTCCGGTGCACGTGGTTTCACACCCCCGTGCATGCACTTGCGTCTTTTACTTTTACTGTAACTACCCAACGTGGGGCTCAGTCTGTGGCTTGTATGCCCCACTTAAAGGATCTAGAATCTGCATGGATGTATTGATGCCCTGGGCTCGTAATAATACACTCCTGCAATCCCACTCACACCCCAGTACGGTCCACAGTCTGCCAAAAGTCCCCACATCAGACCGTCGCTCGTCTGCAGCGTGCTTTGCCAGTCAGGTTCAAACTCCGCGGAGTATAGCACCCCTGCGATCCTTGTCACCCCCTTAGCATAGAGACTTTCCCCTTTCTAGAGCTCCCCCACAATTGTGGATTGCTCAGGGCACAGTTTGCCCTAATTACAACCCCGCGATCCCACCATGAGCCTGTTCGCACCATCCTCGAAAGTCACCCCATCTCTCCCGTGAGGCTTTCTAACATCAAGTCATCATTCCCTTGAACCGCCTGACAAATCCACATTTCATAGATTCTATGATTGCCCCTACGAGAGCCTGTTCACACTAACAAGGGCAGTCTCACCTTCTCCTGGAGCTCCCTTATGTCTGGCCACTGTCCCACCCATAGCTTGAAGTGCCTAGTGTAGCCTTACAATTGTTTTTTACCCCTGGGCCTTTTCACACTGACGCCGAGGGGCATTCTCACCTTCTCTTGGAGCTCCCTAATGTCCGGCCACTGCTCCGGCCACAGCTTGAACTGCCCTACGTGCACCGTCTCCGCCATGCTGAACGGGTACGGCGGTGGCGCTTCCTCTTCCTCCTCCTCTCGATACACCACCTTCTCATACTCCTGGCCTTCCTCAATCTCAACCTCTTCTTCGTACTCCTCCCATTCAACTTCCTCTTCGTCATTGTCAGAAGCTGCGGAGATAAGTTGGGGTGGTGTTGGGACGCTGATTTTGAGCGGACGAGTGAGTGTGCCGTCAGCAACGAAGATTGATGGTGGAAAGAAATGTTCAATCACAATGGCCGCTTTTGTGTTTGACTTTATCAAGGTGGTCAATTGGACAACAATGACTTCCAAAGCACAAACAGTGTATCAATCCAAAAAAGAATCTGTAAAATCAGCACAAGACCTAGTAATGTCAAATAGAGCGCCACACAGAGGAGTCAGGCGGCTTTGTGCCTGCAAACACCAGCACCTTTACCATGAAAAGAATAAATCGAAAGTTCTTTCTTTGATGAAGCTTAGACACAGGCCCAACCTCACCAAGTGTTCACCAACGATGCTTCTTTACAAGAAAATCTCAAAAAGCTGATGCCTGTACTGGTCATTGGCTTTGGAGCAATTGCACGACCTCATCATGATGCACCACCTTTTCATCACACCTAATCAAATGGCTCAAACAATTTTATCTAGGTACTGTAAACATTACACTTCCAATGCCATCAGAAGACAGAAGCATCGAAAAACTTAGCGCACCTTTGACTGGGCCCTTCTCTCCACCTTCTATCAGCCATTTGTACTCCAGCTCCCCGCTGTCTGGAATCTCCCACCTCCCAGAAGATGACGCCGTCTCACTTCCGTCCCTCTCATTGCGCCTGTCGGCTGGAATAGACGGCCCTGAGGCCGCCGCACTTGTCCTGCATCCCCTTCTTCGTTCTGCGTTTTTTTTTTTTGAACCAATGAGAGCAGCAGCGAAAGGAAGAAGGGAACTATTTGCCCCATGGTGGGATTTGTCAGCTGACGAAAGCTCCACTCTCCTTTGAATTGAAGGTGGTTGCTGCGCAAAGAAGGGCCTGAAGGTGGAGCATGCCATTTCGGGAGGTGTAAAATAGGGGCATCTGCCTGAAATTTTTGAAAGCGGTGAGAGGAATGGACGCCCTGAAAGAAGCACCTCAGAGGCGGCCATTTTACATAGGTATTATCTTTTACAGTTCAGTGTTGACCACCCTCCTTTTCCCTGTTCCTTTTCGATCTCCAAGACTGAGTCTCGCATCGAACATATCTGGTATCGAACATAATACAAAGATAATTGTAAGCTTCTTACGCTTCGACGATCGGTTTTGTTAATTACCTGGAGAGAAGGAAAATGCTTCCCCCTCTCTCGCAAGCGCGGGTGCAGAGTGGTGCAAAGGGAGGAGGGAGAGTGGCGCACGTGGGACTTGGCGCCAGGCAGGTTGCAGCTAGCTAGGCGCTCTTTGTTGCTGTGATTGATCTTCCACCACATAGAGGAGATCGGGTTCCATTTGGAGGAGGAGCATTCTAGGGCAGAGGAAGAAGCAATTTGGTGGAATCAAGACTCTGAGGCAACATGCTCTCCCAAAGTGTCCGACGCCTCAGGCGGGAGCTGCCTGAGGTCAGTGGTTCCAGCCATGTATATTTCTGAGGATGTGGCCCTCTTTCGCATTCGTCCAGATCTATGCATTATATGTCAGTTGTAAAAACCTAGTCCCACTTGCTCTGTGGCAGATAAAAGCAGCTTTTTTCGGAAAGCTAATGCATGAGCAATATTGGTTGGAGGGGCACTAGCATGACCTTGGCCCTGCCATCCTTTCCAATTGGGGTCTAGTGCTTGAGTCTTTTGTCGGTTGATTGCATGTTTTGCTGAGTTTGCGCCAGGAATCTGGTTGATTCCTGTATAGATTTTAGGCTTGAATATAGCCATATGGAACCATTTCCATGTAGACCTTGTTGCATTTGAATATCACTTTATGGTGCGGATGTTTTGGTTGGACATGATAAACAGTACATGTAAATTGCTGATAAGGGTCTGGAAGCATCCTTTTGGTTGCTCTGATTGACCGCAAGAAGCACGCCCGGAAGAAGGAGCTTTAGGGAAATGCAACAATTGGAGGAATGTGGCAGATGGAATGAAAAGGATCGAGTATCTTCTGTTCTTTGCTTATTCAAATTCATTTCAGCGGGCCGCATTGAATAGATCCATCGGCACCCCGTGCGTTTGTGATGAGGCGAAAACTCCAGTATTGCAGCGCATCAGTGTCGTTGTCAAACGCTGCCACATAAAACTTGTGCCTGCTGTTGGGAAAGTTCAGACAAACTTCTGATGTAACATGCACTAGCATTGTCTGGGCGCAGATTGATCAACAAAGGCTGAACTTTCAGCCTGGGTCTAGACGTGAACACGTTGCAAAGCAGGCAGAGGACCACAGTTATAATTAGGCCAATCCCGCGGCGCATTGCTTCTCAATTGCTCGCCTCCACCCGATTGTCTGCAAAACTGCTCTACCACTCTAAAACCATACTATTGCAAATCACATGATCTCATTTCTCTTCCGTCCATGCGTTGAAACTCAATGTCCCACCACTCTACAATCTGGTAGCCCAAAAGTATGAATGCTTCTCACCCATCTCCTGCACAGGCTGTGGCCAATGCTCAGCGGGCGATCTCCACAAGCGCGCCCCTCGAGCAAGCCGCCCCGGCCCTTGCCACGGCCGCCAAGAAGACTGGCGGGTTTTTCTCCAGCTTCTTCGGAGCCTCGTCGCCTGCGCTCCCCCCATTGGACGAGCCCCTCCCTGGAGTGCCCGAGCCCCCCCCTTTCAACGCCACCGCTGCACCCCCTGGCACTAAGATCACAACGCTGGACAATGGCATGAGGATCGCCTCGGAGGACATCCCGGTAAGAGCGCCTGACGTTGCTCTTCTTCTGCTAAGAGTATGTTCAATTTCAGTTTCCATGGATACCTCGATTTACCAGCAAGCTCTCCGAGGCTGGCAAAGGCCGGCAGCTTGGGCTGACTGGCGGTGGATATTTTCAACATCTTGCCCTCTGATTGGCGATTGGCCTGTCTTATCATTTTAGGTTGCCTCAATCGCAGCCGGCAAAAACCTACAAGACATGGTATGCGACTTGAATTGCATTGAGTCTGTCGCCCAGAAGAGTAAGACTAGTGGAATCTGACTGGAACATGGCGCATAGCTTTTCTGTGCCTTTGCATGCATGGTCATCTTGGAAAATTCCTTCTGCTCATTTGACAAGAGCGTTTTTGGCTCTTAACGCAGGGTGCGGCCAACAGCGTTGGCGTGTACATCGCTTCTGGCAGCGTGTATGAGGACTCGTACAATTCCGGGGTGTCCCACCTGCTCGAGCGCATGGTCTTTAAGAGCACGATCAACAGGACGCACTTCCGGCTGGTCCGAGAGGTGAGCATCATATCAGAATGCAAGATCTTGGTGCCAAAAGCAAAGATGGAATTCTTGGCTTCTGGTTGATCTGCTATCAGGGTTTGAGGCTGATCCGACATGCAAAGTATGTGACATTGACAATGCTGTGGACGTCGTATTTCTATCTCGAGCATGGCTCTTGTAAAGCGAGAGCCGTTCTGAGATACTGACAATGAACCATCTTGACCAGGTTCGTTGTTACTTGAGTTCAGGTCGGCAGTAAGCATAATTTGATTCTGCTCAAGACACGACTCCTTCTAAATCCTGACGTCATTGTTGCAGCTGGAGGCCATCGGTGGCAACATCGTTGCGGGTGCCCACCGCGAAGTGTTTGTCCTCGCTGGCGACTCCGTCAAGACGTACCTCCCGGAGGTGGTAGAGATCCTGGCGGACTCGGTGCGCAACCCGCGATTCGCGCCCTGGGAGGTCGCTGAGCAGGTAAGCTGGATCGTTTAGCTAATGGTCAACCAGCACCCTAAGCACTTGTCCTCCTCTTCTACTCTGATGTTGGTGTCTCTCAAAAGGTCTTGGCTTTGTTTCATGGTTAGCTCACCGACAGGAACTGTCACCGACCGTCGTTTTTTTTTCCCTCGCCTCTAGTTGGAGAAGTGCATAAGGACGTGCACATGGCCCCGAGCACATGTCTTCTTCTTGATTCCCTCGTTTCGTTAACGCCACCAGTTCTCTTTTTTCCCTCGCCCATGACCGGAGAGGGTGCGCGAGGACGTGCACATGGTCAAACAGCGCCTCGAGCACTCGTCTTCTTCTGAATTCCTTCTCGATTTGAAGCCAACAGTTCTCTTTTCTTCCGCGTCTAGTTGGAGAAGGTGCGTGAGGATGTGCACGTGGCCAACCAGCGCCCCGAGCACCTTCTCCTGGAGGCGCTCCACCAAGCCGGCTACCAGGGCTCGCTCGGCCGCCCGCTGCTCGCGCCTGAGAGCGGCATCTCGCGGCTCACGCCGGATGTCCTGCACCGCTTCGTGGAGGTGAGCAGCACGAGCAGTTTCAGCAAAAGCTGCAGGCCGAAAAGGTTGCCGGATGTTTAGATTGTCCTTGAGTAAGTTCGGAATTGTCTTAACAGTCAACGTAATGGCTGACTCTGACCGCATCTGCTGTCAAGGTCGAAGAGGATACTTACGGATTGACAAGTGCTGGATGAATGACTTGTGATACATGAAATCTGCCAAGTACATCGGACGTGCTCGTTACCGCACGAGTCCCCATGCATGCTCACGACAGGTCTCTCAAAATGTCTTCAAGGCGCCAGGAAAGCAGTAGTGAAGACGAAAAGGATGAATTGGAATCAAGACTGTTCTTCGGATTTCCTGAGGGTTGGGTGTTTCGTGAATCTCCGAAATTTTGCGGCACAGTCGAGCTGTCTTGTGGCTCACAGTCCCACTGGGTGGTCTCCAATCACCTCCTGTCAGCTGCGCTCGCCAATCACATTCCATGTGACGCAAGCTTACTCGTTGTGTCTCACCATTACAGTCCCACTGGGTGGCCCCCAACCTGGTCCTGTCCGCCGCGGGCGCCGACCACGACGAGCTGCTCGCGGTCGCGGAGCCTCTCTTCGGCGACATGGCCCGTGTAAGCGCCCAGACGCCCCCCCCGTCCAAGTACGTCGGCGGTGATTGGAGGAGGGCCATTGACTCACCCCTGACCCACGTGGCACTCGCGTTCGAGTTCGAGGGGGGGTGGAGGAACGTCAAGGGCGCGACCGCGCTGAGCGTGCTGCAGGTGAGTTGGGAGTTCCTTTGCTTGCAGAAAGGGGTGCTTTCTTCTGGTCTGCTGGAACCACGAGCTGGGTGGATTGATTTTGAGTTTGAGGGGGCAAAGAACACCAAGGGCGCGAGAGCATCAAGCGTGCTGCAGGTGAGTTTGGGAGCTTTGATGTTTGATGAAAATTCGTTCCAGTCTTCGTGCTTCTTCTTGTCTCCGGGCCTGATTAGTCGAAGCTGAGCATTACAATCGGCAGCCCGCTTCTGCACCTTAGGGACGGCACCTGAGCAGTCCGTTCAGAGATGGTCCTGATGCGCCGTTTCTTTTCGCCTGGTTGATCCGAGGTGTCCAGGCATCTTTTAAGGGCTTGACCGGATTGCCCGAATCCATTTTAAAAAAGGCGCTTCGTCCAAACAAACCACCGAGCTTATGTATAACCTATCAGTTTGTTTCTCACAGCCCTTGAAAGGTTCGGCCGAGTGAAAGACTCCATGCAATCCTTAACGCTCTTGGGTACAATAAGCGAGCTCTTTCTGAACTCCTTTGACCGCGAGTCTTAGTCCTCAGCGGTTCTCCCTTTCGGCTCAGTAACGGCTCAGTCGTTGCTTTGAGAAGCCAGGGCCAAAGCTGTTTCGTGGTTGGCCAGACGCTTCGTTGGCTAGTTGTCTCTCTCGAATGCGTGAGTTTCTTTCGATGCTCTCTTCTCCGTTAAGATTTGTCTTCCACCGTTCGCTGTTCTCTTCGATCTGCTTTGACCGTGCGCTCCTCCCTTCTCGTTGTTCTCAGGTGCTGCTGGGCGGAGGCGGGTCGTTCTCTGCCGGAGGCCCGGGCAAGGGCATGTACTCTCGCCTTTGTAAGTGAAGACATTCCACCCACTTTATAACTGTCGATGCAAGTGGCTTCGGCTTTCTCTTACGCTTGTGTTGATCATTCTACAGTCTGTCTTCCCTTTCTGTACCTTCCTTGACGCGGTTAGAAAGGGCCTCGAAAAGGCGACGCTCTTGTTTGCATCTATTTTTTCCGCCGACACCGGCGAACTTAGCCACGCGTGAGTCCAGAATGCGGTCGCTTTCCCCTTACTTTCGTACCGTTGCTATCTTGCAGACACTGGTGTTCTCAGCCAATACTCCTGGGTGACCTCGGCCACGGCCTTCTCGCACGTCTACAACGACACCGGCATGTTTGGCATCCACATATCAGGGGTGGGTGCCTACAGCTTTCATACCCGTTTAACAGAAAAGAAACCTAGATAGTCACGCCGTCTTCTTAACGGGGTTGGCGTTAACCCCTCTGCGCTGAGGCTCTTGGTCCCCTCAAGATACCGTACAGTTTTGCCATTGTGTGGCATGACCACTGCGGCCCCGGATAGTGCTAGCGTTTGCTGGTCGTCAGGTTTGATGTCGTCATCGCCAGCCTCTTCAAGTCGCCGTGCTGTTCTCGACGTTGTCGTCTTCCTTGGTGCATCGCTCTCAAGCGGTTACTGGCTGGGAGCCCCGGATCCTTCGTTACACTAAGGAAGCCAAGTTCTCCGTCAAAGTGATGCCCGTGCGTGACAATCTCTTCTCGAGCCGTGATATCGTTCATGGTTGCTAGATGTGGCGTCGTCGTCTTCTGACCGTCCCTTGTGTGTTGGCAGGACTCCTACCGTGCGGGCGACCTTGTGAACATCGCCACCGACGCGCTACTGGCCATCCCGGCTGGGAAGTGTAAGGCTCCTAACCGCTTACCAGTATGCATCAAGTGGAAGCCCCAAGCGATGTGATGAGAACCAGCAGAATGGTGGGCCGATCGTGAAATCTACCTCGTTTCAACTTGTTCACTGTGGTGACCTTCATTTCATTGAAGAGGCAAGTTGATTAAGGTAGGTGTTTGCAAGACGGGTGGTGTTAGTTGGGTGGTTAAGATGGCTTTGGATGCCGAGCGCATAAAGCTTGAAGTTTGGAATATGCAGTTGCAGACCTGGGTACTCAAATCCTTGGTGAAGTCGTTCTAAGACGAAAGAAGAGGTACCAGTAAAACTCGTTCCGTTGATTCAGAGCGTGAAGATGACGAGTGCATCCACAATAACCGACTTTTCAGTTTATCCGGTCTCAAGTGAGTCTGACTAGCTTAAGGGTTTCCCGTGCAGTTACCCAGACGGAACTAGACAGGGCCAAGAGAGCAACCATCTCGTCCATCCTCATGAACCTTGAGTCCAGGGTGAGTCACATCGGAAACCGTTCTCAACCCCAAAGTTTCGGTCTGTTTGGGTTTCGTCTCGTGCTGCGCTGTAGCTCCTAAGCAGACTTCGGTTATATTGAACACTCTCGTGTGCAAAGGACTGGGTGCCCCTCTTTCGCTGCTCGTTCTTGCTGATTGAGTATCAGAGGCAAACTTTTACCTGGCCAGAGCAGGCAAGTGTAAAAGCTTCTTCTAGTGCGGCTTCCGCACTGGCCTGTTTGGGGACCAAGCTCACGTCAGCTTTTGTTGTGCCAGACTGTCGTCAACGAGGATATTGGGAAGCAGATTCTGACGTACGGCAAGAGGTGAGCTTGGCTTTCCACGTCATTTTGCAGGATAGGATAACCGTTGCATACCCAAACCACTTCAAAGTTGGTCGTTTGTTCTTATGCCCCGGTTAAATTGACAAGCCGTGGCTTCGCATTTTCCATGGATTCAGAGCATGCATATTAGTCAAGGCTACAGCGGAAAATGTTCTGGGCCTACCCGTGAAACTTGAGCTCCTCAGAAACATGCTCCGACTGAGTTCAACTCAGGAAGGCTGGTCAATTCAAAGGTTCACCGTAAAAAGCCAGCTTCGAGATTGCTCCAGCTGCTCCAGCTCTGCTCGTCTTGTCATCCTTGCAGAAATCTGCCACGTGGCCCTGCATGCCGTTGATTTCTGATTCTGGCGCCGTCTAGCATGGTGCATTGGGTCCTCCTCGCCTCTGCTTCCTGCACTACATAAGCAATCGCCCTGTCTCTGTGAATGCACTCCAGAATAATCCTGGAAGGCAACTGTTGCGAGCAAGCGTGCTTCTGGGCGGGCATCACGAATTCTTTTGATAAGTTCTTTCGATGCGAGATCAGCGGTTCTTGACGAGAAAAACGCCGATGGCTTTATGCTCCCTTGGTGCCGCGTGCAGACTGCCTGCGCCGGACTTCCTCAAGGAGATCGAGGCCCTGACCATGAAGGATATCCAAAATCTGGCGACCAAGATGCTCAAGACACCCCCAACTGTAGCAGCCTGGGGAGACGGTGAGTCGCAAACCTCGTTTGCTCCTACCATTTGGTTGGATCGACTGGCCGTCAGCTGGGTGTTTTCCTAACGCCAACAGATTCCGTGTTTTGCCTTGCATTGCGTCTACCAGAGTCTGCGTGAGGGTGCCAGCTCGCTCTGCATATGGTTTCTTCTCAGCAGGCGGAACAGTAAGTCCTGCTTGCGGAAAAATTCGTCGTGATTGTTAACCCCTGACGTCTGGATTCTCAGTCTTGGGTCATGCACCCGCTCTCTCAGCAAAAGATGAAGGTTTTCGTACAATCAAATCAGGAGACCTTAGAACGAGTAGCCAGCGTGCTGGATTTGACGGACCCATTCTGCCGGAATTCTTGACGCGTTCGTTCTTTGCTGCAGTTGTCCATGTGCCCAGGTTGGACCAAGTTGCCTCTCGCTTTGGATGAAGGGACTTATCCTGCATGAACGAACTCATGTGAGGTTTGACATATCCTCTGATTGCAAGGCATAGAAGACGTAGTCTGAAGCCAACCAAAGAAAGCAGTCGTCTACCAATTGCGCAATGTTGGAGCTTGAGCAAAAGGATCTGGGCTTGCAAGGGAACGAGTCTGTCATGCGTTTGCTGTTATTGCGAATCTGCTTACTGTCTGTGCACAACAACAGAAGTACCTAAATGCCTTGGTCTAGAAACGCACAGTTATATCACAGAGCCCAGATGCATGACTTACATGCCAAATATGGGTTCCCGTATCACCCTCTTTACCCCTATGAACAGGCTGACTCAACGAGTGGAAACTTTCATGATAACAATGGCCTGCACGTCTCAAATATTTGCGTGACTCAAGCCAGTTGAGTGCCCATATGTAAAAATCATGGTGGCGCTCCAATTCGCTCAATGATTCATATGGGCGTGGCTCATGCAAAGTGCATGCAAAACTTACGAATTATGCTGGGTTATGCCACGCGTTTCTGCATGCTCATACGCTGCGCGGCCGCATGCTGAACGCTCCTGCAGCATGTAACAATTTTGCGTGGCTACATACAAATGTATCATGCAATGATGATATGCAGAAATCAACGTACTTCATCCATTGGACCTGCCGACAACCACAAAACACATGGACCGAGGGGCCTGCCGACGGTGCAGAACATCGCAATGATTTAACTGAGCTGCGACGAGGTGCACCGCAGGTCGCCCGCCTGTCTATCCCAGTGTTCCCATGCAATTGTGCGGGTCATCATTGATTTCAAAAGCTGCATGTGCGATCACACACTCAGAATAGAGCTCCGGCAGCACTCTTTAGCGAGTTGCACAACGAGAGAACTGCCCTATGAGAGCGGCTGCAGTCGGATGGTTTGCTGAAATGATAAATCTTTCAAAACAGCCAACACGATCTCCGAGCCATCATGATCCCTTTTGTGTGTACGCTTTGCTGATTCCCCCGTTGCGCCGCCCACAAGCTTTGCTATATGAAATCGATCGATGCGGGCTCTTGGAAAACCGACCAATTTTCTATGATCACAAGACCTTGTCATCCCCTTACTTAGCCTTCCTCTGCACCCGCTTCCTCGGGTTTGAAGGCTGATCGACGTTGGCCTTCAACGGAGGCCACCGGCCCAGCTTCCGCAACTTGCGCTTCCGGTCAAGCTTTTTCCTCCGAAGGTGCGCTTTGTAAGCAGCCTTCTCCTCAGGAGTCTCTGCAGATTCAGGGCAGGGGTCAGGAAGGAAGTGGAGCAAACTGCTTCACCTAGGTGGCCATACGTGCGCCATATAATTCATGAGTCGATTAGGATTTAGGTTTCCTAAGGAGAGTTCGATTTGGACCTCGATCCGCTTGGATGAAATTGTAGGCTTAGCAGCCAGCCTGGCTGTGTCAGCGCCCTTTCACTCTAAGACACCAGATTACTTGAAAGAGTTTTACGGAACGTTGTTGGAACACAAAAGGTCATTCGGACCATGCACTTCCTTATTACTGGTAGAGCAATTCAAGCACAGGTGGCTTGTTCCTCGACTCCCTCCCCAAGACCCCAAGCTGAATCATCTGCAATCTTCTTCATGGCACATGATCCCTGCAGCTTGAGGTACAGTATCCAGATTTTGCTGTCAATCCACATAACCGGCACCTTCTCACGAAGAAGCACAATGCTACATCCAACTAGACGCTCGATGCGTTACAAATCATCTCCACCTATTGCCTCCATTCTTGAATGTCGTCCAACAAGGGCCCTTACAAGCTCACATGTGTGGATAATGTGGTGGGCTTGTCAAGGCCACCACATTATGCCCAACACAAATGCACCTCGCCGGGTCCATGTATGGTCGCCTTATAGCAGATGATGTGATACCACAACAATGGAGCAAACTCAATGCAACTAGATACCAAGGGGATGCCCAAACAGAACACAATTAGCATCTCTAAAGCCGGCCAAAGTTGACAAGATTGAACCTTTTGCAAACGATCAGAAATGGCAAAAAAGATCAATGGAAGGTACAACTCCACACACTCCTCTCTGATGCCTACGAAGTTGCAACTTGTCGACCACTTGGTAATGATGCATTCCAGTCTGGCAACAGGCGCGACCAGCATGGGCGCTAACACCCGCTTATCGTACGAATTGGGTTTGGTAATGGTCTCAACTCGTATGCAAGAAAATGCAGCTCAAAGCTGCTCTGGATGGGCCATCCTCACCATGTGGCAGCAATCAACTGCACTTCGGCCACGGAAAGCAGGATTTTGTTGAGGAATAAAACACCAGAAAGCGAGACACTTCGCCACAATGTGCAACTATGACTTACTAGGTGGCCGGCCCTGCTTCTCCCCGTCGTCCTTGCCCGCCTTCTTTGCTGCCAACTTCGCCTTCTTTTCCGCTACAAACGCCTCCTCATCCGCAGTCTCCGACGCTGACGGCCCCTCTGCCATCACAACCCCAACCTGCTTCCTTCCATTCCGAGTCACCGGTCTTATTTCTAACCTAAACCCCCTGAAACTAGAGACGAGAGACGAGGACACACAGCTCTGTGCTGGTGCTCTGCTCGTTCTGCAGACGACGTTTGACGCAACGGCCTGAGTGAAGGCCACTCGGCAGAGGGCCGCATGAGCCATTGTGAATCAACGGCCCGCCACTGGCCTCCCTTCAACACCAAGAACAAGATTGCCCCTTCAAGAAAGCCCAATGTGGAGCCGTCACATCGGCCTCAGGAGAACCACCAAAGGAACCCTAAAATGCAGCGCCCCTGCCTTGCTGAAAGCTGTTATATTCCACCCTGCTCAAGATTGAGAAAGCATTCCTGCAGCTAGGTGTTTTGCTCACATCTGGTCGCCGCGAACAAGATTCAAATGGTACTCTAAACATACTGAGCGGAGCGACCGCGCAAAAGTCGCAGCGCACTACGGTATGTACAGCTAGCTCAGGCTGGAGAGCGCAGAGGAAAGCTCACTTAGACGATATAGCGCGAGCTCCTTGCAACTTCTGAAGGATTAAAGAAGGATCAGGCGGCTTGTCGCCAGGAATCATTGATTGGAAAGCTGGTGCACTTTGCTGTTCTTGGAAGCTCAGGTTGTCAAGCAGGGAGAGAACGCAAGCTGCTGGTTGTTGCAGCCTATCTGTCTGCTGCAGGCGGGAAAGCCTCTGTAGCGTTAAAGTGCTTCTCTTCAACACCTGGCTAAAGATTTCCAGGGTTAAAGAGAACCACGCAAGGAGTTGCAAGGGGAGGAGAGAATGGCCGGAAAGGCAGAAGAGGCAGCAAAGGAGACGCAGGCCGCCCCGCCACCCGCTGCGCCTGGGCAGCCCAAGGTCGATGTCTTTGAGGACGATGATGAGTTTGAAGAGTTTGAGAATGAAGGTGAGGAGAATCTAGTAGTAGAGGGATTGCAATTGCTTTGCAGATTGTTGTTCTGTTCTCAATGGCGAGATGGATCGACGCCACCTTTTTATCCACTCAAGGGACCTATCTAGTAGGTTTGCTGGGGGTCAATTCATACCACTGGCTTGGATTGTGCTGGGAAACTGCACTTAAAAATCTGACCAGTTCTCACGAACAAGTACTGGAGTGTGTTGGTGCTTCAACAGCTGGATATGTGTGCGAGGCTTCAAAGCGATTGAACCTGGTATGAAAATCAAGCGTTCTGCAAACAGGGAGCGGAGCTAGCGTCCAGGCAGATCGTTAGCAAGGTCTCTTCTGCTACTTCAAGTTTCTCCCTGACCAATCATTATGACCATTAAGAGGAGCTGCATGATTTCTTCAGTGTTGGTGGGCCTGTCTCTCTCCGGAGGTATCGCATGCTGCTAACAGGGCTTGCAGCTCTTTCATAACCGACTTTAATTTGTGAATTCGACATGTCCTTCGCTCGATTGCCATCAAGGATCTGAGTTTTTCATAAGCACCAGTGTTGGAACTGTGTTTTCTCAAGAATCCAAACTATCGTTTTGAGTTGGTAGTGAGCAGTTGATCTTCCGCTAACTGCTTCATCATGTTTGTCCTGTTCTTTTCAGTACGCCGTTTGCCGCTGCTTTCTAACGTGCATTTCAAACACCAGAGAGCTCCTAAAAAGTTGGAAGAACTTCCAGTTGACTTTTGAGTTCAAAATTTTGCGGCCTATGCTCATCAATGGCCCTGCCTTTACAGCAGTGGCCCTACTGTGTCAACCTCCAAAACGTAGCTCAAAGAGTGGTTTATATTGATTGTTGGAACGATCGATATGGAGGAGATCAAGGAAAATTAGTGATCTATGGTACTGTAACATGAATACTTGGCCTTGGCCATACTTGGCCTTTTACTCCTTGTAATTGGACAACCTCAAGCCCTTTGTTCTTTTCTATCTGCTTGCAGATTGGAATGCTGAAGAGGAAGACACCACAGCCGTACATCAATGGGAAGATGACTGGGATGATGACGACGTCGGTGATGACTTCTCAAAGCACCTTCGAGCAGAGCTAGAAAAGGCTGAGGGGCAAAAACAATGAACTGGTTTGAATGCTTTTCTACTTCTTGTACAGTGCACCTTCGCTATTACGGCGAGGTTGCACCATTGAATTGGGTCGCATCTAGCTCACGCCGCAATTGTTGGTATGCTTGAGCATAGCTGTCACTTTGGGATTGCCGCCTAAATGCATGGCCATGATAACATGACGACATGGATGCTTGTATACTTATCCGATTCCTTCAAGTCACTGTCGCGCGATCTCATTCATCATGCAGGCTTTGATAGTCTTGCAAAGACAACCCATAGTTCAGGATTCTTGTTATGGAGATCTGCAGCGTCGGATCGCTCCCGGAGCTTGCTTTCCTGTAACGAGCTTTAGTCCAGCGGTTTCTTGTGTTACTTGTTGTCACGCGGAGCCGCAAAGTTGTATTGTTCTGCAAGCTGAGCATGCATAGAAATATGCATCAGGGCTGAGCCATGCAGCGCGGCTGCATTTCAAGGCCCGAATTCCACAGATGTGTATGCCCATGCGGTCAGACATTACAATTTGATAGACTTATATGTTCCGAAGCTGCATGGCTGCAATACACTGGTCGAAAGCCTTTCACTGACTCGATTCGCATGCACTGAAAGGTCACAGTCATGGTCTCCACCGCTTATCAAGCGCCGCATACATCTGCTAAGAGCTATTATTGAAGCATATGACGTCCAGATTGACTCACAAATTTTGACGTCGACCGGCATACCACCCGCCGCGCCACTTAATTTGACCATTCACTCCGTAGAAAACTCATCTGTCATGACAAACACACAAGCTGCCTGCAGAATGATTGTGCTACGAATTTACAAGTTCCATCTACCATCAATACTACGCAACTGCGAGGAACGATTTGACGGTGGATGGCAAATTTGAAGCTGCAGTGTAATTATCGACGATGGCTCTAAAGTCAGTTGTTAGGCATTTCCAAAATAGCCAATACAGGCCCGTTGCTAGGATGTCACCTGAGCGTTATTACACAACTCTACTCGCTGACCGTTGCTCATGATGCAGCTGCAGCGCCTCATGAGCCAATATACAACGCGTATAGCACAGTTATCATATCCTACCGCGGAAGAGTTTGTTCAAAGTCACCCCTTTTGGTCTGCTTCTTCTTCTTTGCCAACTCAATCTCCGCCGCCTTGCGGTAAAACAGCGAACCGTCATACTGTCCACGGATCGCTTCCCGCGTCATAACCTCTCGCCCGTCTGGCGCAACTTCTTTGGCGAGGAGCCAAGTAACCGCCCATTCCAACGTGGAGGCTGTTCGCCCGAAAAAGTCGTACAGGTTGCGGTTGTGGGCGACCATGCCCTGCAGCTCGTCCCACGTCAGGGCGCCCTTACCGTCTGCAAAGATGGAAAAGGAAGCCTTCAGAGGAGCTGATAAGGGGAGAATGCATTTTTAAACAACAGCCCAGCTGTTGTGCACTGGTCGCAACATCGTGATGATTCCACTACTCCTTTCTATTGCGAGTTCTAGCGGCTGCTAAAAGGCAGCAATCCGTCGGCCACGCTCTTCCCGCTCGCTTTATTCCTCACTCTAGTCGCACCCATCCTAACCGGAACACATTTTCGTAAATGTAACCAGCGCCACCTATTCCAGCAGGAAACAGCAAAGCAGAATCACAGTAAATCTGGTGAATGGTGCGTACGATCCAAGCCAAGATGAAACGGACTGAGAACTGTCGTGTACTTGCTCCTAGAAACCTCAGTAGCTGTAAAAGTTGATGCTGGCCAGTGATTCCTTAAAAAAAAGCTCCCCTGATCTGGAAGACTCCATATCAAGGACCTCAAGCGAGCGTATGCTTCCTTTCGTTCTTTTTCGAAGTTTTGCAAGAGCTGTCGACCCCACGAGGGAGACAAGCGTCGATCATCAACTTGGAAAGCAGAAAGCAGATTATGCGACTCTGCAGTTCCCATCCAGATTGACGCAAGGGTTGATTTACCAGGCGGAGCATCCATTGAAAGTTCGACGGTCGTTCAGGGCATCTTTTGTACGACGAGCAAGACTGACGACAACCTCGTATCGAAGTAAGGCAAACATACCATCGTGTATGTTCCTACGGCTCTACTTACTGGGATGTAGTTTCAGACATTGCTCGTTTACTGGGCACGAACCCAGGTCGTCGCCATGAAAAAGCGATGTCCAAACCCCTAGACGAAAGGGACTTGTGCTTGTAGCTCAATAGGGATAGAGTGCTAAACTACAGGAAGGAGCTCAACTGAGCCTGCGAAAAGCGTCGAGGGCCAACAATTCGATCGCTCTCTGGATTCTGCAGTCCATCGCTTTTGTGGAACCTGAAGGAAGACAAGCAGTATACCGACGTCGGACAAGGGAAGGGAAACGAGGGATCCAAGACTTCAACACTTGCCTCTGTCAAACTTGGTGAAAATCTCTTCGAACTTCTGGGGCACGAACCGGCCCTCTGTGTCGTACACTTCGGAGTCAGATCCACTGCAAAAACCAAGACAGACTTCGATAAGCTGGTCAATTCGGTTCCGAGGAGTCCGAGAGTTGAGATATCTTTCGGTCCGACAAACTTAGATAGGCACTAGAAGCTGCATCGCCTTAGCAAAGGGTGGCTGCAAAGGGAGCATCAGACATTTGATTACAGAAAAGCACAAAGGGCGGTTTTCGATCCATTGAACTTCACTGGTAGGACTATGCAGAACACTTGTTTCAGCCAGACGGGTGATTTGCCCCATGCCCCGATCTTGGGTGTCACAAGCCGATAAAATCATCAAAACTTTCAAAACAGGGGTAAACCCCTTCTATGCGTTGAGTAATCATAAGTGGTGTATAACTCGGACTTGCGAAGCCACAAAGAAGATTGTTTTAACAAACTTAGGACGGTGCGATCAGATGAACTTTTTTCATTCTAGGAGCTGTCGTTCTCCCCAAGCAAACACCAAAGAACTATTCCACCTTCTGCATTATGGTCTGAAGTAGCGCCGCAACGATACTCGTGTACACTGTGACCTGGAATAATTGGTATCTGACAACAGTTAATGAGTGACTTCCAATCAAGGGAACTCGGAAGATTGAAAGCCAGTCAGTGAAAAGCTGAGGCTGTCCACTCACTGCTTTGCGCGATGGATCCGCTGTGTGTAGATCGGGAGGCGGATGTCCAGAATCCCAGGGGCGGTGGGAAAGGCCATGGCGGAGTTGATGAACAGCCCCGCTAGCGCACAGATGAGCGGGTTGTATCCCAGCCGCCGGAAGCCATGGAATGTGTCCCACGGGTAAATCAGGCCGTCCTCGTCTGCAGTAAAAGCACAGGCTTACAATCAAACCTGAGATCATATTCCGGGGTCGTTAGGTAGGTACCCTATTCAGGATGACCCGCGCGCTGACAATGTCCAGCTGCACAGATCTCAGGTGCCGGGATTGTCAACAAGCGCTACGTTAGCAATATGTTGAAGAATGCACAGATTGACTAATAGATCCACATTTGAAGTACTTTGCTGGACACTGCTGCAAGATGCATCTTCCATAGTGAGGCTGGGCTTAATGAGAAGCGTGTGTCCAGAAGCTGTGATTCAACAGAAGTGACCCAGCTAGTTGACATAAGAGCACAACAAGGCAGCGGACAGTAATTCTTTTGCTTCTGTCGTTGTTTCTGATTTGAGGACAGCTCCAGAGGACAAGAATCATACTGAACAGGCCTGATCTCCAGAGATTGGTCCAATGCAAGCCCAGGATTTTTCACAAGCTGACCTAGCCGAATTCTTGCGCGTCAGTCCTCTACAAGCTGATGAGATCGAGCTAATATCATCAGGTCAAACCTTCCAGATGAAATCAAATCAACCAAATCAAGCTCCTAATCATGTGCCCACTTAATTTATGCCCAATGAGGGCTCAAGCAAAGGATTGCAGATCAAGCATTGAAAGTGGTCTCACCTGTGTCAAAGAAGTCCACATGCTGCTGCAAAACTGTCCTCCCTTCCCCATTCAAGAACTTCTTCATTTGATCACTCTCTGCCAAACCGCTGGGATAGTCCAGCGTCGGTGTGTTGTTTGCCCTGGGCAGCCAGGGTTTAGGAATGACCTTATCCAGGTCCTCTGGCACCGCATACTTTTGGGTGAAAGGGGCCTCGGGGAGCGACGTTACAATACCTGACTCAGACTCCGCTTTCTTCGGAGGCGCGCTGGTGTCTTCCAGAGCAGTGGTGGCATTTGCGATCCCTTTTGATGTGCTCTTTTGGGGAGAAGTGGAAGCTTTACAGGTGACGGCCAGCTGTCTGCATGTTGAGGCGTTGTTCTTCTTTGGCAGAGAGCGATGTCGTGCTGAGCTCAGCGGTGCACAGTCTGGTCGGCTGCTGGAAACTCTTTGACTGCTCTCACCGAGGGCTGCATGAGCATTTAAGCTGGCAAGCTTTGAAGAGCCCAATGTGGGTGCTGAAAAGGCTGTAGCCATCTTGAGAAGACACCTGACTGATCTGCGGTACGGTTCTGGCCCCCCAGTTAGCGGCTGATGGCTCCCAGAAGAGCTGGACCGATAGGTTGCTCAACAGGCAGATAGCTAGGAGCTTGCTTGCTGCCCCTTGAACAGCTCCAATCTCGCTGCTGCAACCCTGCTGCTCCCGCAAGAAAACAGCGTCCTCCTTGATCAACAATCGAATAAAGAGGGCAGCTGTCAAGCCCTCATACTTTGCACTCCCCTTGCCTCTGCCTCTGGCGTGGTGCTCTCTCTGACTCTCTGCTGGGACTTGGAGGCGGCTCAAAGCCACGTTGCGTGCTGCCATTGCTTGCATGCAAAAGAAGAACCTTGGCGCATCCAAATGATGCAAGCTGTGCGCAAAAAGTATTGATGGTGCCACGTCAAGCTGCCATGTCATCTACTATTTAGTCTATTTTGGACTCTTATCCACTCGCGACGGTCTTGAGATTCGGGTTTGGAACTTTTGTCCAATCAAAATGACGTTCTCGGGATTTGCTTTGGACCCCATGTGAAGAATACAGGGGTCGAAAATCTCCTTCCTATAGCTGTCACTTGGACTGGTTGTGTTCAGACCTGCTAAACAGTGCAATTTTGTGCTCAAGAGTCAAAGGTGCAGGACTGTACAACATGTTGACACGTTTTGTGTGACCAGATTCATACCAAGAAAAAAATCAACAACATTTTGACACGTCCTATTTGAACTGAGATTCGCCTGGTAAGTCGAGGAGGCACTGTTGGCATGGCGATGATCCAGTGGTGATCGGGCATCAATTTGAATGCCTTCGCGCTCTAGCAGCTAGGGAGCTAGAATCAGACATCGCTAAGATAGTGAAAGATGCACTGAGTCGAACATCATGGCAACTTCTTTGACATACTATTTCAAAGATGGTTGCATTTGCGGAACACTCGCGTCTAAAGAAAGCCCATCGACTTTTTGAAAATATTCTTGAAGTCGCAACTGGACAGTTGCATGGATTGCTGACGAAGCGACTCAGTCATCGGCCCACGTGCCAATATTTTCGCATCCCATTGCGCTAGGCCTGACAATTTGCAGCGCGCCGCTGAGAAGCCGTTTTATACTGCATGGCCTTCGGAAATCATAAGCCAATCAAATTTATTGGACTCAACTACCAGACGTGAAGCATGGTGGCTGTTTAAAGACTCTTTCATAATGAGAACATGATTATGAACTGCGTTTGAAGTTGCAAGATTAGCATTATCTCTACCACATTAAGCTGGATAGAAATCCATCTTTCACCACGAGTCCTTCACAGAAGGTTTGTCGCGCTGACGGTTTCATTGCCTTTGATCTTCTACTTTTCTGCTATGCGTAGCTTTTCTTTAGAATGTTGTGATGATTCCCTTTCTGCATAAACCACTCCTACCGTGGCTACCAAGGTCTGCTGAGAGTTGCTTGAAGTTTGTCTCCTTCACTGGAGATTGTAGCTTTTCATGGAGCCTTTCCTAAACTTCCTTCGGTTTTCTGCGGCATTCTACATCATTACCGTGATCACTCCACTTTTTCAGCACACCCAGCGTGAATTGGAGGCTCCTGAGTCCTTCTCACTGGCCCTACCTCAGTTGATTCGAGTGCTCAACTGGTTACAAAAGACCCTTTTCTTCTATACTTACGCTTCTGTCACCTCCAAGGACGACTAGTACTGGAATCACTACTTCCGTTTCCCTGGTCTTCCAAGTCGGAGATCTTATTTTCTGCTGGCATGCGTTTTCAACTTTTGCTCAAGAGCCATTTTGGCCGGTTGCTCCCGCCTTGCAAGTTCCCAAACCGATGTATACGTCCTCCTAGACTACAAACAGTCGCCTAGTTTCTGAGCCAAGTGCTTGTCAAAGGGTTGGCCGAGGCTCTCGGCTTTGCAAAGTCCTCGATGCTTCTTCCTCATCCTGCCTCGATTGCCGACAATCCGACTCTTCATCGTCATTGTTTCAAGTAAAGAAGCTGTCATACTCGACCCAACTGTGCACCAATCCCCTTTCACCTCCTTTCCTCTCCTGCATCAGTTCATCCAGGAACGCATCCGAGCTCTCCCTAGCTGGATTCACGGCGACCTTCACCGCACAAACGCCCCGCTTCTGGTCGCCGCCCGGCTTACTTGATGGGAAAAGGAGCCTTCCGATCCACTCCTTGCGGACGGCCCTCGCGTAAATCTCCTCTTCGTACGTCCGCCGGCACATGAGTCGGTAGACTGCCACGTGGCGCGTCTGCCCGGGGCGGACCACGCGGCCGATGAGCTGGCGGGAAACAAATGAGGAGAACCCAAGCGTAAATCCAAGCGTAGCCATTGAAAAAGGTAAACACAACCGATTGTCTATCCGTGTTTAGGATTCTCAAAAGAGTTGCGCTAACTTGAGTAGTCCAAACGGATGACATATTGCCCCAGAAACATTGGTCGCAAGATGCTGCCGGTCAAAGCTTTGCAAAGGTATTCGGAGGACTCAGAGGACACCTGTCCTTAAGCTTCTCTCGACTACGAAGTCGAAGGAATCGCAGCGAACTTGACTGCAGTGCGGGTTTTCTAAAGGCCTCTCTGATCAAGGCAAGAAACCAATCACGACCCCCAATCGCTTGTAGCAAATGCTCCCAGGTTAGAGATTTGAAAATCGATATGAGTTTCCAAGTAGCCCACCTGCCGCGCCCGCATCGGGTTCCACAGGGGCGCCAGGATGACGACACGTGTCGCCCCAAAGAGCTCGATCCCCTCGTCACACGTGTCCACGGTCGCCAGCAGTACGACTGCCCGGCTCTGCGGATCGTTGAATCGGTCGCGCCTGAGAGGGGAAGTGCATACTCAGAACTTGCTTGTTCGAAATGTCAGGAGTCAAGATTGGTGACGGTTATAATCAAGCACAGCTGGGACGCTCGAAGAAACGGGCACGAGGTCTACCGATTTTTGCAACGGCTGCCAGTCTGGGAGCATCAGCAGGCGTTTCAGAACCGATTGGCTGACGTCATCTGATTCCTGTGGAAAACACAGAACTGGGTTGAACAGGCCAAGTCCGCTGCACTCTCGGTTCAGAAGACAAGGACTCATGAAGCGACACAACAAGCATTAAAATCAGACAACGTTAAGATATACGTTTGGTCCTGACGTCTTAGCATCGATACGTCAACACCCGAAGTCAGGCAACAAACGCATCATCTCATAGACAATCAAACTGGAAGCAGAAACCAATTCATTATGAAAGGCAAAGAAGGGCTGACCGGGAACCCACCTCTCTCGCCGAATGCTCTGACGGACGTTCCCGTCGATATAGAGTATCTCATCCCCGTCCATGTTCGATTCGTCCAGCTCCCAACCGAACCGCCGCGCCAGCCCCCGGGCGATTGTTCGGAGCGGCTCCACGTTCTCGCCGAACACCAGGACCCGCTCGGTAGACCTCACCCGGGCGACCAGCCGGCTGACGAAACGCGCCTTGCAGCTGTGCGCGTCGCTGACGTCAGCGGAGAGGGCCGCCAGGGAGCTGCGGATGGGGAGGAAAGGGAGCCGATTCCGCGCCGCGACCAGAAATGCACGAAGAAAGTGGTTCGTATTTCGGAGGGAGCGTAACGAAGTATATATCATCTATTTGTCGAGGTCTCGAGTTGGGACTGTGGTTTTAGAAACGCGGCGAACGACTCGACCTGGCAGATGGAAAACGGCGGAAAGGAAAGCTGCAAATCAAAGAGCTCTCAGTTGCGGAAGCGGGACTGATGAAAAATGTTCCTTTTGCAATCCGTTCACGAAGACAAGATCAATTGAACATCAATGAAATCACAGTGGCCGAAGCTCGATTGAATGGGGTTTGCGTAAAGCCAAGCTGGCTAGGCAGAAGTACATTGCTCACGCTTTCGATCTTGAAAGCTTGACAAACTTGTCCGCGTAGCGACTGGCGAAAGCGGCTGGGTGCGCCCAAATGAACCCCAACTCGCTTGCGAAGCGCAGGTGACTTTCCGTATGCCCTCCGTCGTTCTTGCCTTGTCGCTTTTTATCAATTTTCCGGTCTTTCCGTTTCCGTTTCCGTTTCGCGCCGCTTTTGGAAAGCCCACCGGCTTCATCCTCCCCTGAGTCCGACTCGCTATCCGTCTCCTTATCCAGGAGAACGATTTCCGCTCCGGCCTCCTCTTCCGCCCGGAACGGTCCCCACAACGGAGCCCGGTTCGCCGGAACGAACGCGTTCATGTACTCGGCGTACAGCTCCTCCTGTTGTGACGTCATGTTGAGGCTGACGACCGTCTCCGTGTGCGCGAGCGCGCGCCCGTCAGGAGCGTCCGCGGCCGCCGGCCGCCGCTGGAGTATGGGCGCCATCAAAGCCCTTAAACCCCGCAAGAGGCGCTCCGCGCGCGCGCGCACGCGGGGCGTCACCGCGGGAGCGGCCGCGAGGAGTTCGACGAGCGGCTCTTCGAACTCCCTTACGAACGCTCGCCGAGCTTCCTGTTCCGTTGCTTCCGTTGCTTCCGCCGGCGGATCCTCGTCCTGGCTGGAGAGCGTGTCGGCCGCCCACTGGAGCATGACGTCCGGCTGCGCGAAGTGGAGCAGGTTCCACACCTCGGTGAAAGAGTTGTTGTATGGAGTACCTGAGAAGTGACGTCAGAGGCAAGGGCACACGTCAGGTAGTTTTTTGTTAGGCCAAATTGAACGGCAACGTTGCATTTGAACGGCACGCCGCGATCTCTCTGAATTGTCCGACTGATTGATTTCATGCTTTTCAGAATCATGTACATTTGGATGCAAAGTTTGCTGTTGCTGGTCACTTGGAGTGCGTCAGAAGAACCCAGCCCGGCAAGCATGTCTAGCGTTTTCATATTTTCGTGCCCTCACTTTTGAGGAACCAAGATGACGATTGCTGGAACTCTTTCCTGTAGTGGACACAAAATTTACGATGGCAGCGCCTTGGAGGGCGCGACAGGGCTCGACAAGAGGTGCATCAACCCTTCAGGCAGATACTTTTAATCTGCCTTGCATCATCCCTTGAAGTACGACGAAAAAAATACGTTCCTCAACACATGCGCCGGTTTGCTACACCTAGTCGACGAGAAGAAAGACACTTCCAAACCCAAAGCAAAGGATGTTGGACAACAATCCAGCCCACCTGTGAACAGCACCCTTCGTCGCATTCGCAGCCCCCGCAACAAGTCCTGGTACAACTGCCCGTCTTTGTTCCTGATATTATGCGCCTCGTCGAACAAAGCGACGTCCGGCGCCTCCAGCAGGTGCCACGTCAGCTGCGCGCGCAGGCGCGCGCTCCCCGCGCTCCGGCTACGGAGCAGCGCGCGCACAGTCTCGTAACTCGCGAGGAGCATTCCGTCTTTTTTCCCGGCCCACTCCTGGAGAATCTTTACCCGGTGCTTGAGGCTCCTCTCTGTTTCCGTCGTCCCCGGTACGTACCCCGGGCGATCCAAGCGGTACGTTTTGATTGACACCGGCTTTTGGTCGTCCCACACGTGGAGCACGGAGGCGGGGGCTAGTGTCATAATACGTCGGCGCTGCAGGAGTTGGAGCCACCAGTACAATGCCCAGCCCTGTTAAGGATTGTTAGAATCTGTTGGAGTGATTTACGAGACATCAGAGCATTGAAATGAATGGTCAGGCCCCGTTTTGCGTCGCGCGTTAGCATAAAAAGATGGAAAACAAATCATCTTAACTCTCTACTCCTTAATGTGGTCCTGTTTCAAGCAGAAGAGGTCCCTTAATAAACCAGACCTAACGAACCCATCGTGTCTGAAACTTTGCATACAACGTGAAGGATCTAATCAAGGGGGACCCTCGTTGAGAAGAAATCGACATGAATCTTCGGACCAAGCTGATCGCAAAAGTCGAGGTCATGTTTCAACACGGTATTGGTGCTTTCCAATCTGCTCTCGATCACAACGAATAACAAACCTCGGACCCACCAGCTTTGTCTTCCCACTGCCCATCGCATGCGCCAGGACGCAACCCTTTCCGGCTTCCTCAACCTCCGCTTCCGACACCCCTCCCAAGCATCCCGCTTGGCTTCCCAGTCCGTCTACCGACCCCGTCAGAGCCCTCATCGCAAATTCAAACCCTTCCACTTGTGACCGGAAGGGTTTCCGCCGGGCGCCGAGCACCGCCCAGAACGCCGCTTCCGCGGCGGATCCGTGCTCCGCGACCAGCTCCGGCGGAGTCCGCCGTTCCGCCGCCCTCACAGCGGAAGTGTGCGACAGCGGACACTCCGGGATGTCCTCTAGAGTTACTCTCCTCTTTCTCCCCGGGCGCTTTCTCGACTCGTCCCATCCCCCCGGAGGGGGATCCCTTTCCGCCCACAGCTTCGGTAAGACCTTTCCCATCCAGTTTCTTTCCCAGCGGTGTGAATACGCCCGTGTGTCCAGGCGTTCATCCACGCACGCCCCGAGGAAGGCCCCGTTCACACCGCAGAAGCGGCCGTACTCGGGATCGATCTTCACACACGACTCGTCATGAGTGTGCCCTTTAGCAACTCCTTTCTTTTCTCCGTTCCGCTGTCGTTCCGCTTCCGTCACTTCCGCTTCCTGCCTCCGAAAAGCATCGAAGTCCTCCCAGACGCGCCGCAAGGCAGCATCTCCCGAGCTTTTTGCCTCCTCCGTCCGTTCCGTTCCGTTCGTGCCCTCCCGTTCCGCTGCGGACTTACTCCGTTCTTCCGGCGGCCGACCATCCTCAGCAGCCGTTCTCTGCGACCTCGCTTCCGTTAGAAACTCGTCGAACAGCGGACAGTCGCCGAATCCCACCCCGCTCGCGCCCACAAACTCCTTGTCCGCCACCGTCCCTCCGAAGAACACCGCGCTCTGCGCGCGCGCTCCCGCGGCCGGCTCGCGCGCGCCGCCGCGCATCTCCCCGCTCCGCTCCATCGCTCGTGCCATTCTCCTCCGGGTCTCCACAGCGGCGACACGACAGCTCCTCCTGGGCGCTGCAAGGTCGCCGGAAAGCCCCCTTTTACTGAAACCGTTTCCGCCGACTGGCCGACCGTTTCTCGTTTGTTCCTTTCTTCGCGCCTCCTCTCTGCTCTTCTTTCGAAGCTGCGCGGTCGACTCCAGCATCTCGTAGTGGCTTAGAATATCATCAAGCGTCGGTTCTGGAAAATTCGAGTTCCAACAAGGCTTTTGGCCTTTCGCATCGCTTTTTCGGTTGTCTGCCTCAGGGTTTGGGGGCTTGGGCTGACCGTCGGATGCGATGCCGACGGATTGTGGTCCTGACGCCGAAGCATTCTCGTCTCCTTCTGAGGCTGTTACCCACTCTCCCTCCGTTTTAGACGTGCTCTCGCCAGCCGCCACGTCATCGCACTTCCGCACTCGCGGCTTCTTCCCGCTGCCCACCTGACGGCTGACGTCAGACCCCCCTTCCGTGACGTCCGCCTCCTCATCCGCCGGATCCTCTTTCCAGCCTCCAAAATCTTCTCGTATGCTCCAGAGGCATTCGTACTTCCTGTTCTCTTGAATTTCAACCGGAGTCTCCTCAAGCGCTTTCTCTCCAGCCGTCAGCAAAAGAGGCGTTCGCCCCGGACTCTCCTCCCAACAGTCAGGCACCTCGAGCGCTGGTCCGCTGTTCCGCCGGAAGCAGCGTCTCTTTCCGCCGGAGCCGCTTGAAACTGTCCCCACCAGCTCGCCGGGGGGATCCCACGGCTGCCCGCTCGGGCCGTGCGCGCGCCTTTTCCGGCCCCGCCGCCGCGTTTCTTCGTAGCAAGGGTAGCACTCCGTCTTGGGACCGAACGCGCTGCCGTACCAGACGGTACAAACCGCCCGGGCACAACGCCAGCAAGGGCCCCCCTGACTTCTCACAATCGCCCACTTACTTTTCGCACCTGACTTTTTACCGGACGTCTTTGGCTTCCGCGTGCTTATTACCCGGCTGATTTTGCTTTGGTTGGTTTCTGACCGGTCGGATTGCCCCGCTTTTACGTCTCTCGGTTCACGTCTCGTAGGCAAACAGTCGAAACTGATCGCCGAAGCTGACGCTTTCAGGGCCTCTAACTCTTTGTTCCTCTTCTCGGCGGAACGCTCCGCTCTTGATGCACTCTCGCCAGGTAAGTCTGAATAGAACGTTTCAGAATTGGTACTCGAAGAGCGCTTCCGCGCCGCCTGCGAAGATTCGGATTCTAGAAGCATTCCTCCTGCCTCTTCGATGGTCAGCGTCTCGAACCCGCCTTCGCCTCTCCACGCGCAGCTTGGTAATGAGACCGCCGATTTAGCTGCTCTTCCGTTCCTAAAGTGACCGGAAGAAGAAAGAGCGGGAACCTCAGACCGGAATCCCTCCCGACTTCTCTCATCCTTACAGAGTGATCCCCCGCTTTCCTTATCGGAAAGAGCAAGTGGGTAGAACTTGGAGGAACCGGTTCTCATGACGTCAGCGCCGCCCACGTGCCCGTTTGGGATGCCCATGTGGGCTCCCATCAGCTCTCTGTCGTCCAGGACTAGAAACGAGTCTCTTTCTCTGGGCGTGATTGAGAAGCGCATGTCGGCTTCCATCGAGAACGCCTTCTGATGCACGTGACCAAATCTTGAAGCCAGTTTCGTTTTTTAGGAGCCACCTGCAAGGAACGGACCAGACAAGTTTAGTCTCTGATAGACTGCTGTGGTCTTAATCACAGTTCTTTCGAGTCCAAGCAACTTGAGAACAGATCCGGGCGGCCTGTGGATGAAAAAATCAAACAGTGGACAGCAAAGAGGGTTGTGTTTCGCAAGAGAACTCCATTCTCTCCAGAGCATAAGTTCGTCTTATCATATAAATAGGTTGAGACAGCCTCAAATGGTTCGAGCACGGAAAAAGCAAAATATGGAAGAATGATCTCTTTCCCTGGGCAAAAGCTGGCTGTAATTTGACTTCGAGCCGGGATTTTGCCGATCAATTGTAAGTGACGAGAAGCAGCCCACTCAAAAGGGATTGTCTTTAGAGCAAGCTTCCAGATTTTCGCAGCCTCAACGACCCCACAAAATCGAGCAATCAGAACAACCGTAATGACATCTTGCAGATTCATTATCAACAACTCACAAATTGCAGAAGGTCGACGTTTGTTTTCTAGGTTAATAGAAGTGGATATTCGCAGATTACTACGACCCGAGTTGAGTTTATCCGTCCGTAAAGGATTAAGTGCCCTCCACAACTGGTGCCCACAAACTTCGAGAATCAAAGATTTAATCCGTTGTCTTAAAGTTCTCTGGAATGTTTCCTTCTTACCTGTGAGTTCCTTCAGGCAAGGAGAAACAAGTAGAGGCAACTCTTGCTGCTGGGCAGAGGCCTTGTCTCGAGAAGCAATCTCCCACCGCAACCCCAGGTGCAACAATGCAACTTGGCAAAGCTGTCCAGACTGTAGCAATAGAGGTATGTCGAAGCTGATGTTCAGGCTATGCCAGTTGCAAACACGCCCTGGTTTCCACTCTTCTAGTTTCGAAAACAGGGCATGCCTCTGAAGCAACCAGCTCCCAATCAGCGCACTGCAACTCAAGATAAAATCGCCCACCAGAGAATGGGCTTCAAGTCCCAAAGTTCAATGTACAGCTCAAGCGAAGGCCCAAAACGTAATGTTAGAAGACTACCTGAGGGGGAATGGCGCTTGGACGCTGTTGACACCTCAGCAGGTATCCTTGAAGTACTGCGATTCTCCTTGTTTTCATTCCTGCTTGGAATTCGTCCCGTGCAACTTCGAGGTCCAAATTCTGGGTTACTTCGTGAGTTCCAGCATCTTACGAGGGTTTTAGTTGTCTAATCACATGCCTGAACGTCAATTGAACAGTCAAACCGTCTGGCCGACTAACCACATTTGCTGATCCAATCGGTCCCTCGAACTCGGTCGCCCTTTCGTCACTTCGTACGTCACAACACCGTGTCGCGGTCACGTCAAAGTCTGCACTGGGTTTCAAAGTGATTTTCGGAGCGCATGCAGCACAGTGTCTCAAGTCTAGTGCTTTGAAGCGGGGACCTACAAATTCTTTCAGTCGTATCAGTCCATTATTCAAAGAGTACTGAAGCAAGAAGTGGCTACTGCAGGACCAAGAGTCAACATTCCAAGAGCCAAAAGTTTTTTGGGAGGCTCCCTCGCAGGTCCCTGTGAGCAGAAGAGCCAAGGCTTTAGAGGATGCATTTGTTTTAGAGCTTACATATCTCTCGCAGGGGGTCTGTCCGCAGCTGCCCTCAATCTAAGAAGTGGCATCAAGCCTTCTTTTGACAGCAACTTAAGGCCCTTGCGGCGTTCTCATAACTTCATCGGACGAAAGCAAGCTGGAAGATTGCGGCGACTGGGTAGAAACTGAGTCAGAGCTAGAGAGCGCCTGATCTCTTGTGCTTTGAACACGCCAGAACACGCCAGCACAGAAAGATTGAAGAGTGATTGAAGTTAGAAAGTCTGAGCTTGTCGCAGTTTGATCTCCACGAAGCGCTCTGTGGATCATTCAGCATGAAGGCACCCAAAGCTCCACTTGAAGTGCCGGAGAGTCTCTGTTTCCAGATCTTGGGCCCCGAGGAGATAGTGAGTGCCTCTTCTTCCTTTCGTTCAGAAATGCAGACGAGCCTTTGACCTGCTCTTTTGGCTGAAACAGTGGAAGCTGAAAACATGGAAAGAACAGTGTCCCTTAGCTCATCCACTCTGCTGCTCTGCTCAAATCAGACGAAGGTGAGCGAAAAGTTCCCGTCCACGGAGTGTTTCCGGCGACAATCTGCTTGTTGTCCTGGGCAGTCTGTCGCCCCTCTCCTTTGGCACTTAGCTTTCCGCAGCAACTGAGAAGCGGCAAAATGACCAAGTCAGACGCCATAGAACCTTCAGCAATGAGAGAATATTGCATCTTTTGAATCTCCCGTAATGGTCTCGGGTTTGACCTGACAGGTTTCAGTTTGCCTTTGTTGCTCTGAGGCAAGACATTATACGTGTGGATCTGCTCAACCGAAACAATCTGGAACACCCTCCGGCTCCCTTTAACGGACCCTTGATAGCAGGGGGACCGTCATATGTTGCTTTGACGTCAGAAAGGCTGAGTAGTAACTATAAATGCGGGAGGCCTTCTTGAAACTGTGAAACAATGCATCAAAAGGAGCTTGCCTCGTAAATTGTCTGCTTAATCCAATTGTGACATTGAAACGGCGGGGAAGATCCTCAATTCCACTTGATCCCCTGCGAGAAACATCTTCGACCGTTTCGTAGTCCCATAACCAGGTCGCTAGGATGCGGTAGAGATGGTCGCGTTTCCCTACCAATCTTTCGGCATCGTCACTTTCATCGTCGATCTTTCTGCAGGAGAAGCACAGCGTCGCTCGGTTCGACGCTAAATCCGAGTTGGAGCCGACGAAGAAGGCCCGCTGCAAGGCCAAGTACGCAAAACTGGGCGTGCCGTACAATGCAATCGGCAAATGTCCGACGTGCGGGGCTTATGGGAGAAAGTGCCCAGGTGCCGTCCTAAGTGTCCTTGGTTAGCTGCTGGTTTGTCGAAACCCATCCAATGAAGCGAACCGGCTTTGCTGAAAGTCAACTCTGCTTTGAGCGAAGCTTGCAAGCCAGCTTACGATTCTCTGGATTGCAATCAGGAATGAACGTAGAATCTACAGCTAGGACCATACACCATTCACCAGATGTTCTTGTCTTAAATTAGAAACTGTTTCAGGGAGTTTTTGCCCATTTTTCTGTCGCTTTCCTGATCGAGGACTTCCTATGAAGACCACGATCTTCCTCACATCTGAGCTTCGATCCTTGATTCACTGATGCCCATCACATCGTCTAGAAAATAGAAACAAAACAACAAGAGTTGCACCGACATGCATGCTGAACCCTTTGGAACCCAAGTCTTATGCTAGTGCTTGACTTTTAAATCAAAGTATGCTGACGTCGTGGCAGGGCACTTCGGCCACACGGATCTGGCGGGCCCGCTGTTCCGGGGGGAGGAGGAAAACAAGATCATCGCTGACGTCATGCGGCACCTCTGCTTCGCTTGTGGGCGCCCGTCGAGAATGAAGGTGAGAATGACAGGTGGCAACGCCAGAGAAAGTTCAGGAGCGTTTGGCAAACATTCAGCCGCCTCTCAGAGGGACGAAGGGGTTGCAATCAATTCTTTTCTTTCGTCAAGGCCGACATGTGAATGACCTGTCTCCTCAGTTATTTCTTTTACCAAATGAGCTGACGCGGAGCTCAGCTTACCTGATAAGGTTTGGTGCGTAGACATGCTTGATTCTCAGACGATTCTTAGTTCGTGTCTCTTTTCTTGCACGTCTATCAGATGAGTCTAAAAGATCGCCATCGTTTCGCTTCATCTCAATCTGGGCTGCGAGAAGCGGATCTTAGAACCAGACTTCCTCCTCTCATCCTCTGCTACGTCCAAACGACCGGTTTCTCTGTAAGGAACCCAGAAAAGGAAAGTGCATCAAGCCTAGAACGACAACCTATTCAGAAAGAGTCGACAAATAGAAGTTTCCGTGCTTTCCAATTCCTTGACTTTCATCGACGCTGATAGCATCAATCTCTTGCAGACGCGACTCGCGAAGATTCAAGATCTGCAAGAGAACAAGTGTTTGAACCCGATGGACAGGCGGTCCATGACAGAGATTGCGGGGAACATCAGGGGCCCGAGCGTAAGCATGACGTCATCACAGAGTTGTTTGCGATGGATTTGTGCTCATATAGTTTCTTGGGACTCTTTTTTGCCACATTTTCCCGATCCGCAAGAACGGTTCTTCACGACCCTGATTGCATAGCTTTGACGCGAGGACTTCTGTACTTCAAGACGGAGCCTTCTTTGAGCGCAGAGATGGCATCGAGCACGGCCTTGCTTTCTGCTTTTGACATGGAATAAGTTCTTTGCATCTTGCATCGAGCGAGAGTTGAACCCCTTCAGTACTTGAAGAAAAAACGTGATATCTGAGCCGGTGAGTTCGCTTTCAGACAAGGAACCTTATCTTCAGGAATCCTGGTAGTTCGGCCTACTTTAAAAATTCTCTCGATGCGAGCCCTTGCCTTTGGCAAACACCTGTTGGGGAGAGAACTTTATGTCTACGCCGGCGGCGAAATCATTTTAAGGAGTCCTTAACACTACAGAATGATGTTCGTTTCCAACCTGTTGCTTTGAACAGCAGCATCTGCCAGGAAGATGACTTGTCTTTGACAGAATGCTTGCGCACAGAGATGGATCCTTCTGCCTTTTGTATCCTTCACATTTATCTTTTCTGATGTTCGTTTTCGAACCTTATGACAGGTGTCGGCCACGCATCCCGTGCTGGCCCAAGCAGGCGGCTTGGTCCTCAAGGGCGCGACACGTGGCATCCTCCTACGCAATTGGAGCCAGATCCTGTGCGAAAGCTGCGGCGCAAGCTTCAAGAAATTGGCCACGACTCACCCCGAGATGGCTATCCCCAGAGGCTTCAGCGCGCTCGCGGTGAGCATAGCGTATGACAAGTCCAAGAAAGCTTATGGGCTTCTCGAATCAATCTGGCTCTAGGTACGCTTTGCCTGTGAATATTGTTTCAGGGCGCTCTGGAGTTGCAAGAAAGCTTATAGTGAAACTCGACAGGGATGCAAACCGGCTTTCCTTGTTCCAACTCTCTTCTGAAGGTAGAACGGCTGCGAAGTGACGTAGGATAAATCATGAGACGAACTTCACACGCTCTCACATTTGAGCGCCGGCAAACTTCGCTGATGAACTGGCTCTCACCCTTTGTATGATATTCTTTCCCTCCGGATGATTGAAGAAGTTATCTGGACAAGATGATGAAAGGTCAGCAACTCTCGGTCCGCATTTTGGAGCTTTCATCACCAGGTTTTAGGCCGTTTGTTCTTCCTCCACAAGTCGTTGTCGGTGTTTTAGAACTTTTCTCCGCTATTCACGGCGCCTCCTTCCGTCCTGACGCCAAAGCTCTCAGAAACCCCTGAGACTTCAATCCTCCACTCTCTTTTCAAAGCGTGGAATTTTACCTGCTTTCTGTGCGTATATGCTTACATAACCAATCCATTCTTTCTCATGACGTAGATCCTGGACGCCCTCAAAAGAATCTCGGATGACGACTGGGCGCGGTGTCCGCTGCGGAATTCCGGCCGGATCTCCGTCGCCCGGCCGGAATGGCTGCTCCTGACCAAGCTCCCCATTCCCCCCCCACATCTATGCCTGACCATCGCCCCCCTGAAAAAGTTGGTGGCAAAGAATCGGTGTCTCAAGCGCGAGCACGCGGCCGCGATGCGGCGGGACCCGGACCGCGCGCTCAAGCTGCTCGCGCACAGACTCCCGAGCGAGCTCCAGCCGCTGGCCAACGAGCACTTTGGGACCAAGGGCACGGTGAGTGCTGACGTCATGGTGAGGTCACTTAGGTCCTCGTCAATCACAAAGAACGTGGTTGTTTGGAAAGCTGCGCGCAAGCCTCTGCTTTCAACAGAAGCTGTCGTAGTACCTTTTGGGGCAAGCCATGGATTCTGAAGAATGATGTCGACGCGAACGATCGGGCGCTGCGCGCGGTGTGGACACTTCAGGAGCCCACTTATAAAATCAATCAGATTCGGTTTCCAGTCGTGTCAGATCATCATTCTTCCAAAAAACGCAGAGTTCAGGCTCCTAAAGCTCTACCATTTACAAATACGACTCGTAAGAACATGCACCGGACCAGATTTGGACTTGAGAAAATGTCTTTTTGAAAGGTATGCACTTTGCAAGCTGATTGCTTCACCGCACGATAGAATCCTGCAGAAAAGGGCTTTTGCTGAAACTTGGGGCCACGACGTTGTTCAAATCACTTTCTCTCTGTGCGTGTTGCAGCTTGCCCAACCAGCTGGGAGCCGCCTGATCGGCCGCCTTCAGCCGCACCAGGCTAAGAAAGGCCGGATCCGCTGCACAGTGGCCGGAAAACGTGTTAATCACGCCGGAACGAGCGTCATCTCGCCGGATCCGTCACTGCCCATCGGAGTGATTGGAGTTCCGGTGGAGATAGCGGAAACGCTTTCCGGATCACCGACCTGAACATCGACTACTGGCAGGAGCAAGTGAACGCCCTGGTTGGGCGTTCCGATGGGACAGGCGAGGAGCGGACGCCGGAGCGGAAAGCGGATGCGGAGCGGAATGAGGGGTCAGGCTGGGTACCGAGACCGGATGGGGAAGAGGGACCGGGGTGGGGAAGTGGATCAAACTGGGACGAGAACAAGGAACAGGAAACGGAACCAGAGCCGGAGCGGAAACCGGAACATGAGCGGAAGGAAAAGTCGGCTGAGAGAAAACCGGCAATCAAGCGCAGGTTCTTCAGAAAGGGGAAGCCGCTGATGTTGGTTCCGGGGGCGACCCTGAAAGTGGGAGATACGCTGGAGCGGTCGCTGCGAAATGGCGACCGGGTGGTGATCAATCGCTACCCGTCGCTGCATAAGGGCAGCGGGTTCTCGGTTACGGTTCGGGTTTCCGAAACCAAAACCTTCGCCCTCCACCCGGCGATGTGTAGGGGCATGGGAGCGGACTTCGACGGCGACACAATCGGTTGGTTTCCTTTTTTATCCGATTCTAGTTCGTCTTTCCCCTTTGTCTTTTGTCTTTGCGCCCCGCCTTCGGAAAGGAGACACTCCAATACCACCCCTCTATCAGCAACTTTTCTGAATATTCTTTTTCACGTGGACCCGTTGTTTCTTGGGTTTTCCACTAATGTGTAAGCAGCTTTGCGCTCGAAGTAATAAATTAAAAGGTCAGTTTCTCATGAAACTCCTGCTAGAACGGTTTGATTGAGGGTTCGTAGCGGTACAGCGTCTTATACAGGGAGGTCTGTGTCGTGTTTCTGGAGTCAACTGTATACCTTGTGCACACCTTGCTCCCATTGGATGAAACCTTGGTTTCAAAAATTGATAGGCCGACTTTGGATTACGAATCTCTCTTGAAGTTTCTCGGAAATGGTACATCATTTCGTTTTCGTTTCTATGAGTTTTTGATCTTGCGTTGAAGGTACCGAAACTGAACGGTATTGTCTTTTGTTTTATCCAGTCATCCACGTGCCGCAAGCTCCAGAGCCGAGCGCCGACGTGCAAAGCCTGCTCCCGATCGAGGAGAATCTCGTTTCTCCCTCGGGGGGTGAAGCCATGGTTACTTTCTTGCAAGACTCCCTCCTAGCCCTCTCCGAGATGGTTAGCACGCTGACCACCTTTTTCACCCAGGAAGAAGCGCAAAATCACTTCGCGAACGTGCTCCTCGCGTCAGGGTCAGAGGACGGGTTAACGCTAAACCACTTCCCGGAACCGGCAATATGGAAGCACCCCGGGTCGGAGGTTCTAGCGGGCGGAAAGCGGGTTAAAAACCCGGTTTGGACCGGCCCGCAGCTGGTCGCGGCGCTGCTTCCGGACGGTTTCGAGTACGAAAGCCCGGGTGATGGGTTAGCATTGATCGGGGGAGAGTTCGTGGAGATTGACCGGGAGGGGCAGCTTATGGTCTCAGTTGGCAGACCGGTCAGGGGAAGCGCGTGGCTGCAACCGGGGCCCCGGGGACTCGTCGCGGCGCTCGATCAGATGTGAGACGACTCCTCCTTTGCGTTTTTATTCATCCATTCTTCTTCGTGTTCATCAGAGTGAAGAAATCAGCTCTTAGAACGTCGCACAAGGATAAACCTATAGATGCTCACGCTTGCAGAACCCTTATGCCCCGGGTGCGTCACGAGAAGACGACGTAGACCGCACCTCTTTTTGGTGATTCCGCGTTCTGATACGCCACGGGAAGAACGTGTTACCATATTCTTGGAGTATGTCTTCTCATCGATCGTGCTCGGTAACTGTACTCGATTCCTAGCCAGTGTATTGCCTTTGACCTCTAAAGATGATAATCCTTAATCCCCGTCAAAAGAGTTTGCATAAAGAAGTGCCGCAGAAACGAAGGAGAAAGAAGCATCGCATCAATGTAGAGACTTCCAATCTCCTTGCAGGTCAAAGGAAAACGCATTCACTCCTACAACCGGCCCCGTCTGCGGGCCGCGCGGCGCGGCCGCGGCCCTCGACGCGCTCCTCGCGCTCGCGCACAGCGTCATGGACGAGCGCGGCTTCAGCGTGGGCCTCGCTGACGTCACCTTCGCAGACGCCCTGAAAGCTGACGTCAGGTGGGAGCTCTTTGAGGCCTTCCAGCGGGAGACGCGCGGCGCGGCCGCGAGGGCGATGGCGGTGCGGCCCAAGCAGGTTTTGGGGGCTTTTGGGAAGGGGCGGTCGCGGGAGGACGAGAATTGCGCGCCCGGACTGATGCTTGCGAGTCAGAGCAGCGCCAAAGCAGTGCAGACAATCTTCAAGGTAAAGTCTACTTTTTGGGTTGGAAGGTGACGTTGCAGTTGCTTGGAAAGAAATCTAATTTCGTCAGCCGCTGACGCGGGAGATAATTAAGCTGAGTGACAGACCTTTGCGCACATCCGCTATGCTTTCCATACGAAGCACGGCTCTTACATTTCGTGCTTGCCCCGTGTGGAAGTATTGTGTAACACCCTCAGATAATGCCATTCTCTAATTACCACCGTTCCCTGATTTCCTTACGCCTACACTATATGCTACTGCGAAGAACCCCAAAATCGGCTTCACGCATCAAAGAACCTGGTGATATCGACCTCTCCCATCCTACTAAAGCGCAACCTAAGCGTTCACCCGAATTCTCAGCTCCACTCGTCAGCTTTCACGACTCACAAATCACAGTGGGGAAACTACTGTTTTGTGACTCACAAATCAATGCTACCGGAACAACCTTCACTCACCGACCAATCACCGCTCCTCTGCCACGACTATTCCTTCAAGCTGGCCCATCTGCTTCTTGGTTCTACCTTTCAAATGCGTTCAGTCTTGACCTGGAAGTCGCCTTAAATGAATCCGCCTCTCAGAAAGTGTGCCGTCAGCAATACCTCAACTCCGCAGATAAAACCTAAACAAAATCTCATGTCACTATCCAACCGCCGCTTTTTTGCCAGGACTATTCCTCAAGACTCGCCCGCCTTCTGCTCCCCGTTCTACCGCCGACAAACGCGTTCAAGCGCATGCTGGACGCCGGATCGAAGGGGTCCCCCTCCGACCTGGTGCAGCTGTGCCTGGCGGTGGGCCTGCAGGGGCACCTGGGCTCGGGCGCATTCCCACTCGCGGTCAGACAGGAGCTGTACGGGGCCCACTTCTTTTCCGAAGACGAGTGAGAATGCGCTCACGACGGCTACTCTGATTCATTCTGGCTCCTGACTTCCAGAGTTTCTCCTTCCGGGTTACTATTGCCATCCGTGCTTTCGATGCTTTCGATGGCTGAAGTACAACTGTACCTGCGTTTGAGCTCTAGTTCACGTCTTCTTCTGGTAGATCTTCAGGTGACCCAGCGGAACTTACAGGCTGTCACGAGAGACCTGTCAACGTCGTTTGTCTTCTTGGATACCTAAGAAAGCGGTGGATCGACGCCCTTTCAATCGAATGCATCCGACGCTGGAATTGGAAAAGCCAAACCGAATCCGTTCAGTTAGGCAGATACTCGGCGGACCATACAAACTCAGACGGCGCCAATCTCAAGGTCCAGCAGATGATGGCACTTCTCGTTCCTGCAATGCCACTGATTCGCCGTTTGATCCTCTTCCAGGTTCGGCTCGCGCCTCTCTGCTGACGACGCGGCCGCGCGCGACGCCAAAGCGCGCAACTGCTCCCTCGACCAGTATCGCGAGGCCGCGGAGCCGCGCGCGCGTCTGCAACTCCTGTACGCCCAAGCAAACTTAGGGCTCGTCCCCGTCGGCTTTGGCGGGGCCGTGCTCGCGCGAGCGCGCGAGCAAGAGCCCATGAGCGACGCGCTGCGCGCGTGCGGGTTTTGGTGCACCGCGCAGGCGGGCCGGGACAGGAACATCGCACACCACCTGCTGACCGCTCTTCCCCATGGAATTGTGAGTTCTGGGTTCCTCGCTTTTCTGATTGCGTTCTATAAGTGCCGAGCCTTACGATTCTTCATTGAATCTGACATGGCCGAAGTTGTGAACGTCGATTTATAGTACTTTTGTAAAGTGTGTCCCTTCATTTGCTTCTTCAACGCACCTTCAACGGTGCGCAGCTCTGAATATACCAATGCACCTCATGAGTGCTTGATAGTTTCTGCTGTCTTCTTCGGACAATTTATGAGCTACGGAACTTGAAAGTTCGCATCCCACATGGAAGCAGCATCGACTTCATCGAACACGTCAGTAGTGCTGTGGGTTCGGTCACCTCATTTGCTGCCCCGACCTGGAAACTTTATAATAGTCGCTTTCGAATCCTTACAAATCTGTTGGACCACGTAGATCCCACTGCATCGCTGTCTTTTTATTGAATTGCTCCAGATGGCCTCCGAAAAAGAAGCAGGTTTTGCGAGAATCCGGAATTTTAAGTTCCCCGTTTGTCTTTCGGTTTGAATTCAGCATTCCGAGTCCTCTGCTATCCTCCTTATCAGGGCTCCGGTTTGAGAGCCCAAATGGCTGACGTCAAGCTGGCGTATGACGGCACGTGCCGCGACCTCTCGGGCACGATCCTCTACTTCAACAAAGAAGCGGAGGGGCCGAACGACGTCGACGCGACACGTGGCGCCCTGCAATTGGACCCAGAAGAGAGCGCGGGAAGCCTGGCGTCATACGCGCTCAGCGAGCCAATGTCGCAGCAGGCGTTGAAGTCGAAGCACCCGGGGCAATACGCCGGGGAAACACTGGACGCGCTCGAGGTGAGCTAAAGCTTTATCGCCGGGGAAACAGTGGACAAGTTCGAGATCTCCATAACCAAAACTCATAAATCCCGGCGGCGGGCTAAAGCCGGAAGCACTTGGATTTTGCCAAGGAAATAGGCTTACCAGATGGAGACTCTGTGAAGGCATCTCTTCGGATTCAAGGCCGATTTTAATCAACTGGAAGGATGTTCTGAACCCCGGAAGATTCTGAAGCTGAACGCTTCAGGTCATGATGACGTAGATCTTTCAATGGTATTATTCTTGTAGCACGGTAGCGTTTTGATGGAATCTTGACTGCTGTTTTGAGGTTGTGTTCAGTTGATTCTTCAGTCACCACGTGGCTTCAGCGCGCGCTCAAGGCTTTAAGGAACCCTCACCGCCGTCAAACAATCAAAGATGTGAGAGTATGATCCGACGAAGATCCCCGCTTACCGGCCTCGTGGTTGCCCAAACCTTGACAAAATTTACGGACGCCCAATGTGAAATTCAAACCCTTCAGCACCCATTCGCTGAAAGCGCGCCCTCCTTCTTTCTCAACAGCTGGCTCTGCAACTGAAGACACCGGGCTCCAAGTTCTGCCACGTCATCCTGCCGTTTGTACCCGAGGTGAAGACGGGAGAAGAAGGGGCAGCGACGCCAGAGATAACGTCAGCCCGTGAAATCACGTCCCGAGATCCCGCCACCAGGAAGTGTCACGCGCTCATGGACAAGATCCGGCACGTGACGCTGAAAGACATCGCAGCGGCATGGGAGATCAGGTGAGCGGAATTACAGCAAATTCAGATGTTTCAATGAATCTCTTAAGCTGGAACTAGTGTGGAGACCACTATCTCTAGGATCTTTGAGAGGACCGTCTGAGGAAGCAGCGGTGGCGTGATCCATGCCTTTCTGAAAGAGGTCAGATTTCGACGCCTTCATGCACGCACCGGTTGATTGAACCTAAAATGTAGTGATACATGGAGGCCTACTGAACGTTTGCTTGGTAAGTCAGGTCCCGTAGCATGGTGTAAGTACCGAGCGAAGCGCGCTCTCAGTTACTCAAAACCAGTCAAATCTCGACTCGACGGAGAATCAGACACGTGTCACTGTTTGTTTCTTGCAGGTACGATCCCAAGACGGCGCAGCGTGCCTACGACCAGCGCTCCAACTTCATCCTTTCCATCGAGCTGACGAAGCAGGTAAGAAGACTAATCTATTTTCCCGCATTCGGCGTTGCTGGCTTAGCTCTCATATCTGCTCGAGCCGTCATCTTGTCAGTGGAGTTTACTATGACTAAACTTTCGCCAGATTATGTGACGGCAGAACTTCGGTGCAACGAGTGCGCGGCTGGCGATCAACTCCCATCAAAAAGGATCATCTAGAGTACGTCCACTTCCCTGGAAAACGAGCCCAAAGTCATCCATAACTTTGAGGCAGCGCAAACAAGCAAGTGAAAGCACATGAAAGCACCCTTCTCACGGCAAAGATGTTGTGCTAAATCACGCTTTGGAAACCCAGTCCCGCATGTTACCTACTTTCGTGGTGCGTAATTCACTAAAGAATGAGCAACCCTTTTCACAGGCCATCTTCGACCACCATCTCTTCGACGCCGTGCGCACTCTGGACCTGCCACGTGTCCTGGGCGACGCGCAGCCGGGCTTCCGCGCGCGCGTGTGGACTGAGGTCACGTGCCATAAACCCGAGGGCGGTGCCGAGTGCCCCGCGTGCGCGCAGATGGCGGCGGACCTGGCGGCCGAAGCGCGCCTGGCCGCGCGCGCAGAAAAGTGGGTTCATATTCGCATATAAGATTTCTATTCCCTGAAAGCTGACGCAGAGAGTATCGACTTCTCAATACATGCTGGAGTTTTGATCATTGCTAAAACAATGGTGGCCTTGTTGTCGTCCAAGCTACTCCTGCACTCTAAGAAAGTTGTTGTCGAAATCGACAAAGGCAATATTGCCCCTGAGCATCTGAGGATTGTAATCTAGGCCATCAGATTCAAGCGGGCTGTCAAACATCAGGATGCCTTTCTGTTCTTTTTATAGCTTGCAGCGATGTTTAATGCTCTCAAAACATTAGAAACCAACCACGAAAGCTCTCAACATCTGCCCAACCGGGTCTGGATGTCGAAAATGTCTCAAGATCTTGCCATTGGCTTCCCAACTTTTGTAGCCTACTTCCCTGATCTTGAGCCGTCCGATGCCTTCCTTTTCGTCGATCGAACGGTTCACGATCAGGAACCATGAGGGGAGCTTTCGGACGCAACGGCAGGTTTGATGCAAAGAGCTGTAAGCTCCATCAAACTCAGCCTCTTTGCAGCTCCTCCGTTGACGGCAGCGGTTACGAAGAGGACCCGCCCTCCGTTTTCGACAGTACGGCTCGCAAGCTGCGGGGGATGAGCCGGCAGGCTCTGCGAGAATATGCGGCGGTACGAGGGACCCCTGAAGTCATCAGTGGTTCTTGCAGCAGCGCGTCTCTGATTACAAGGATCATCGATTGCTGCAAGTGAGCTTCTTCAGTCTGGTATGCTGTGCGTGCCTCTGTTTTTCCATCCCGTAGCGCGGCGCTTCTGACAGTGGTCTGATTGTTTCGTTTCCCGAAACAGAAAACTTTTGGTGATTGGTTGCGGGCAAAGTAAAGAGAAATCTAGAATGATTGTCACCAGATATTTTTGTTCAATTGACGTTCTTCATGTGAAGTTTCTTTCTGAACCAAGTGAATTCACCAGCTTTGAATGCCACAGTCAATCAAGCACAGACGTGCAAGGCTCTTTAAGCTTCTCGACTTGCAAAAGCCCTGGCTGACCGATGGCGAGACGTCACAACTTCGCCAATGAGACACAACATCAATTTCTCTCAAAAACCAGCTAATCTATGTTAGATGAAGTCAGATCCGTCTCTCGTCGCCAGCTTCAAGTACAGCGAAGATCCTTGACCTTTCTTCAAACCCCGATCAATTTTATTACGCCCACAAACGCCTCGAGATATTTGCTTCGACAGGATCCATTCGGAGGCGTTCTTCATCGAAAACCATCAAGTGCACCTTTTAGCGGTGCTGGCAGACCACGAGATAGACCTGAGAGCCCCCAAGAAGTTTCCGGGGATCGCGGCGGGGGACGAGGCGGGCGTGCTGATGGGAGCGCAGAACGCGCGCATTCGCGAGGCGGAGGATTTCCTGCGGACCACGCTCAAAGGTGAGTGGAACAGCTTTAAATCGTTGTTCGATCCAATCTGGTAAATGAGATGTTTTCAGATGGTGAGAACACAGGTAAGGCCCCTGCAGTAAGAGTAAGAATCCCTCTTTGTGGGTGTGTGTTAATTTTGGGATGGTCGGGAACCTCTGAATTTCGGTTGGGGTCGGTAGGAGAAACAGAGGTTGAGATACTATTTACATGGTTTTCAAGGATCGGTTAGGGCCAAACAGGGCTGACTAGCAAGGACTATTTTTTTTTCCCCACCTCTGGTACAGATGCAGCAGCTTAAGGGAGGTAGATTTAAAGACTCGAATGATAAAATAGACTAGAGTAGAAGCCTTGCTACTCCTCCTGATCCGCTCGGTACCATTCGGGAAGATCATCATGTCTCACCAAAAGCTCTCTCCTGAGGAAGACCATGTCAGAAGTCTCTGAGAATTCAAGGACGTCGGATCGAATGCATCAAATTCTGTGAATTTGCGAGGCAGTGTGTTGACTTAGTGGCACGAATCCACTTGCAACAAAGACGCGCTTCGTTCAGATCCGTTACACGGGCGATCTAAAAGATCCGACTCGTTTTTGTCCTTCACAATTTGCCAAGCTTACAAAGTCAGGTTTTGACTGCCACATGGATTCTTGCCAACCTTTTCCGCCGTTTCCTCTTGCAGGTGATCCGATGGTTACGGACCTCAAGCCCACCTTCACCGAATACAACCTCCTCTTTCCCCGGCCCACTCCGGTAGAACCTTCCCCGGTCACTGCCTCCTCAGCCGAACCACCGCTCAGCACACCGGGGCGGTTAATCGGGGAGGTCACGCTGGAGGTGACGTTACGGCGCCCGACGGGCAAAGCGTTAAAAAGGTGGAAACCGGTGGCGCACGCGGCCGCGGCCGCGGGGGGTTTGGTCGACGCGGTTGACTGGAACCGGGCGGTCTTGAAGCACCCGGGGGATGTGGAGAAAGTATATGGGCTGGGAACGGCGGAAGCTATGGTCAAAAAGGTCGGGAATCTTTGGTCTTTAAATCTTTTTGTTATGTTTGTCTTCTACGGTTGTCTGAATACAGCTCTTCTTTCCAGAGTGCTGTAATGAGTCCGTTCAAAACTGCCACTCAGTCTCGATATGCACCAGATGCTTCTACAAATACGTATGAGACTTACGCAGAGGACTGATAAAGGTTGACGACCGCAACGGTTTGAAATCGTATTCGAGCAGATTCGTTTCGAAAACGAACATCCGCCAGACTTTCTCATTCAGCACCAAAATTTCAAACGAGGTTTCATCCTGCAAAATTTTCCACTCTAGTTTGATCAGCCCATCGAGTGCTGAATAATCCACAGGACTATCCTATAAGCCTACGGTTCACAAATGAACCATAAAGATATGCCCAGCCTTCAGACGCGTGCGTAAGTTCATTAATCTCTGACCATTACAGACGCCCTTCCCAGGACTTCGGTTGCAGCAAAAATAAAAACGACGATACACAAAAGATAGCAGCACCAAGACTCGTCGAGAATCTTATCCCAAACCTTTCCCAAGCTCGGCCGTCTCTTCATCATTTTCGCTTCGCTTCATTTGCTCCTCTTCTCCTTTGCAGACCGTGACGTCGCTTTACGCCGAGGCAAAGGCCCCCGTCTACGAGCAGCACATCAATCTGGTTGCGGCGTGTATGGCCAAATCTGGGAAGCTCCGTCCGTTCACGTCCGCCGCGCTGAACCAGTCGCTCGGCGCCGCGAGGCGGCGGACGGAAAAGCACCGCGCGGAAACCGCGCCCATGCGACGCGCGCACTACGGGGTGAGTGCTGACCTCCAGAGAGCAAACATAGACTTTCATACGACGAAATTTGAGGGTCTAAACAAGGGGCACTTCGGTTCTGTGGAGCTTTCTATCCTGCTTGTATTTCGCTGGCGAGGTCTTGAGAACGCTTTCTTTGGCGAAGATGTGAAAACGCAATAGGAGATTTTGAATGCTGATAAGAATGAGCGTATGACGGGTCAGAGAATTCATTTGCGTTTACAGGGGTATTGCCTGACAAGATCCTGCCCACTCCAAGCTTCACAGCCTTCTTGTAGGATTGGAAGCGATCCTCGGACTTCCATTTCTGATTGCAATGGTCTTCGAAACTGTCACGAGCATTGGCTTAGCCGTGACGTCGGGTCGTGGGACTCGTATTTGAGCGTCAGTCCTCATAAGCAGAGTCCGAAACGAACTTTCTCCTTCTGGACAACGACAGCCGTCATACATACAGTCAGAGCTCAATCAGCCACTAAATCTGCCGTCACCTGCGTTTGCAGGGTGCCTTCTCGACTTTCCAGCAGGCCGCGCTCCGCGGCGGCACGGAAACGCTCGCGAGCGCGGTCAGCCTGAGCGCGTTCGGGCGGAACGTTCCGCTGGGCACCGGCGGAAAGTTCGACCTTTTGCTCGATTTGACTCGATTCCCCCCGGCGACTGTGATTCCTGAGAGAACCTGGCTATGTGTAGAAATGCCGGATGCGTTTAGGGAAACGGAAGCAGCTAGGGCCTCCGGAGAGGAGAAGAGGTCGGAAATCAACGAAGTTTAGGACTTCAGAGGAAAGAAGCATCGAAGATCGGTTTCCGAGACGATTAGAATCTAGGGGTCTATACCACTTGAAAGATTGTGTGCGGGAAGACTTTGACGCGATTCAGCCCAATTGCCGCGCCGGACCCAGCAAAAAGTCGCTGAAAGGGGACAATGCACTGGTACAGATCTTGTGCAGAGAACCATGCAGTGGGAGAGATTGGAGTGATTTTCGAAGGTGGTAGGCTTCTTTCTCCTTGCTCGATGACACGAAACCAATGTATCTCGGTCCATAGTTTTCAAAAGTTAGCAACTTTTGAAGGACAAGAGTGGTCAGATTACGAGGCTCCTTGCCTGTGAGCCGCGTCCGTACAACAGCAAGCCTTCAGAATTACTGGTTCCTCATCTGGAAAGAGAGCATGCAGTGGAGTAGTTTCAGCGCGAGAAGCGGTTAACTTCCGGCAGGGGATTCTTGTCGATAATCAGTGAGTGCTGCACTCCTGTTGCAATGACAACGAGCAGACGAGAACCTTGGAAGCGCTTGCTTGGTGAAGTATGCGGACCGGAGCTCTTGAACAATCATCCAAAAATAAAGCCGGGAGAATGAGTCTTATACATGTCCAAATATTAGTTCGTAACGACATTAGTTCCTAGTGGAAATCATATGGTTCTCAAGCGCGACGCTTGGAGGTGCTTCAACTGAATCTCCACGGACTCTCCAACGTGGTCACAGCCTTAATTATGTGTAATTGCTCTTGAAAAGCATCAATGCCGACATGATCGTACTGATCGACAGGAGCCCATTTTAGGACCTGACAATTGCTTCACCATGCGCGGTCACATACAACATGAATGATCATGAAGCCTTGTCTCTAAAGGGGCTCGTATCCGGAGCCTGGGGATGGGTGGGGTTGCTTTGGTGATTAGGGTGGGTAATAATGGGATTGCATAAGATAGTTCTCAGAGAGTTGCCCAGGGCTTCTCGAATACAAATCTCCTAGGAGACAAGGGAGTTTGCCACTACGATGGAAATTTGAGCTAGAGGGCCATCATTCAGAATCTGTCACCATGTGGCCCACGTGGGCAGGTAGCGTATCGGGGATCTGTAGGCTCGCTTCTGGATCAAGGCAATCAACCTCACTCTGACTCTTGCAGTCTCTTCGATTCGTCCTCGGCCAACGTTGGACTAGATGAACTTCGGCATCGATGACTCGGCTACGTATACGCATGTACGCAACTAACCATCTGTTCAACGGCATAAAACTCAACCACTCTCCTGCCGCCACGTGCCCCCCCTTTCCGCTTGGAAGGCTTTGCCTCCGCAACCTGGTCGCCCCAGGCTCGCCGGCTCCGGGAACCGCAAAAACGCTTCCGGAACTGAAAAAGCTCTGCATGCAGTCACTGCGGTTCACGTATCAGTGGTTCACCACAGCGTTGCTGGGCGTGCCTCACCCGCTGCGTTCTTCACAGCGGTGTGTGTGTGCGGTAAGGAGTTGCCGGAGTGGATTGGGGCGGAGCATACGCTGTTCCCGAGGTGGAAAGCGCGCACGCTGACGCATGATGGCATCCGAGATGCGCGGTACTTCATCCTGCGACTCGGAGACTCGGGTGTTCAGCATCCGCCGGAAGGCGAGGGGCATCTTTCCGCTGAGAGACTGAGAGACGGAGGGGAGAGTGATGGATGCTGATGTTCTAGCATCGCCGGACTACGTTTGCACACTATATTCAAATGGACTGTGGTGGACGTAGACGGCCATGATGCAGGAGTGTTGCCCAGGCTTCGCGCGTGCGTTCTAAGGGATCGGACGTGTCCAAAGCCTACCCTTCATAGTAGAGAAGGAGATGTTGAACCAGCCACTCGTGCAGGCAGGCCGGCAGCAGATTTGCATGGTCATTATCAGACCTTTGAGTTAACTTAATTACACATTGTTGTCCTAAGCAAACGATAGCAGCATCGACTAAAGGTCCGCATACACTATGAGGTCGATCGGCTTCTCGGGCTCGTAATATTCAAGCAATGTCATACAATACAATCGCATTTTCTTGGAACCTTTGAGACCCCACTCAAAAGCGTGATTGCGGAAAGTCTTCATGGGAAAGCACACGACTGTATGCTGCAAATCCCGGGCTTCACTCGGGCACTCGGGCATTATGTACCACCAAGACATGCATACACCAGAGACTTGGTTCTCTGTAATTCAGCATGGCCGATGTCTAGAGACGTTAATGTTGTTGAAAGAGCAACAGAGGAAGAAAATTGAGCTACACAAGCTTGAGCTCCTGCTGAGGCGTCG